CAGTGGAAATGGAAACAAAAATGGCTAAAGTTTATTAAGCACATTTTATATGTCAAGCAGTATTGTGAGAACTTTATGTAAGTATTTGCTTCCTGTAGCTGCTGTAACAAAATTAACATATATGTAACTGACTTAAAACAGTATATATTTATTTATTCTCTTGCTGTTCTGTAAGTCAGAAGTCTCACTGGGCTAAGATTAATAACATGTTAAGGTTGTGTTCCTTTCATAGGCTCTAAGGATGAAACCATTTCCTGGTCTTTCCCAGCTTATAGTTTGCCTGAATTCTTTCTTTGGCTCATGGCCACATCCAAATATAATTTTAATCTCTGCTTTTACTGTCACATTATTTTTGAACTTCCTCTTATAAGGACTCTGTGATGACATTGGGTCCACCTAGATAACCCAGGACTCCCTGTCTTTAGACACTTAACTTCATCACATCTGTTAAGTCCCTTTTATTCCTGGAACTTAACACATTCACAGGTCCAAGAAGTACAGATGTGGACAGATTTCCTGGGACTCGAAGGTTGGCATTTTTGTATTTTCTGAAGCATCTGTTCAGTACCTCATGGTAATATTCTGAGACTGCAACAATGATCCTCTCGCCCTCCCATTTTCTTCTTTTTCTCCTTCTCCTTCTTTTTCTTTCATTTCTTTCTTTCTTTCTTTCTTTCTTTCTTTCTTTCTTTCTTTCTTTCTTTCTTTCTTTTTCTTTCTTTCTTTCTTTTTCTTTCTTTCTTTCTTTCTTTCTTTCTTTCTTTCTTTCTTTCTTTCTTTCTCTCTCTCTCTCTTTCTCTTTCTCCTTCTTCTGCTTCCACCTCATCTGCATTTTAAGGATGAACAACTGTGATCCAGAGCATGGAATAACAGTATAGGTCAAAATGTACTTTTTGTTGTTTTATTTTGTTTTGATTTAGTTTTTTGAGACAGGGTCTCATTATGTAGTCCAGGCTGGCCCTAAACTCATTATGTAGCCCAGGCTAGCCTTGAACTCACAGTAATCCTCCTACCTCAGCCTTCTGAGCGATGGGATTACAGGCACGTGCCTCCACACCAAGCCTAGGTCAAAACGTAGTGAGAGGTAAGTGTTTAAAACCTGAACAGTCCAGCTGCAGAGTGAGTACCTTAAAGCACTGTGATTTTCTGCCTGTATGGATCTTAGTATCTAGGCAAAAAGCAAACAAACAAGAAAACATTGCTAACTGCTCTTGAATCTTGAGGGGAAAAGTGGGCCTGAAAACTGATTGTTGAAGTAACTAAGGAGTAGCTGTTGGGGTTTGGTTGAGGCAAGGTTGTAAGTAGCTACTAAAGAGTTTAGAGAAAGTGGCAAAATCTCTCTCTCTCTTCCATTGCCACAAACAGTAACTAATATCTGGCTCATATTCCCCCCTCTGTCACTGACAAAATGCTCTCTAGATTGTCCACCTGTATCGTAAGATTTTTAGGTGGATTTTATTTTCTCTCTCTGGACAATTGGGAAAACTGTACCCACCCTTGACTGTGGTTTTCTCCAGCCCCATGACACGATCTTTCCTACCAATCAATGAACAGTGATAAGTGGCCGGATGCCAGATCTAACCACCCCATCGCTCAGGACAAAGGTGCCTCCGAGCATTGAATGTGCCAGTGCACAAAGAATAACACAATCCTTGCCTGGGTATTCCGATATGGGTATTTGGCTTCTATATCTTTCCTTACAGTTTACTAATTGAACCATCCCAAGAACATTTCTCATGACTTGATCCAAGTGGGCTCATTAATATTCCAGACAATTAATTGTCATCAATTCATCTGTTTGAATAAAATCCTTTATGACACCAAGAAGCAAGGCTTACACATACATAGGGGCAAAAGTGTCCTAGGTGAAGAGAAAGGCAAGCTTGAATGCCCTGTGGCATAAGCAAGCACGTCTTGCACAACAATCTATAAAAAAGTCAGTGAAGCTGGGGCAGGTCCAGGGAGGGGAAGAGAAATGGGAAATGAGCTCTGAGGGGAAGACTGCGGTATGGAGTATGGACCCTGGATGAAGGACAAGGATTTTGAGTTAATGAATTCCACCCTTTCCCACTTTAATCTGTTTAACAGTATCGGCTCCACTTAGAACACAAGGAAATAAAGCTCCATGGGGTCCAACCCCATCCATGCACCAAGTGTCCCTCTGGCTTCACTCTTTTCTCACAGCTTCAGCCGTGCTGATTCCTCAAACACATCTGGTTTTTTTTTCCCATCTCAGGTTATTTGCACTTCTTCAGCTCCTGCCTGGATGAGTCCCCAACCCCACCCCCAGTTCCTCCAGCTCCTTCTCCTCTCATCCTGGATTGTACAGTATATGGCTTTCTCAGAGGACCCTTCCCTGACATCCCAATCAAAAGTAACCATGTGCTAGTGCTTCCTCTTCTCTGCCTCCACTCTCCTCGGTCATAGCCATGATCATGACAAAGAGCTATTGCTGGTATTGTCACTTTGTGTCTATCTCCTTCGTGGCCTCAGCCAGCTAAAGACAGAGGCCCTCCCTGCTTAACACACTGCTGTACACTCATTGTCTCAGCCTTTATCCCACACATTTCATGTGCCTTACAAATATTTGCCTCTAAATAAATACATAAAAGTGTGCAATGGGAAAGACTTTATCAGCAGCCTTGTGGAAAATACACTCATACCTTGGTACTCGACTGCTTTGAAACTTGATGAACTTGGTACTCAATGCATTTTGACATGAAAACTTTGTCCCAGTGTTCATTATGTTTGATACTCAACACACAAGCTAGAATTTGGTGTTGCGTGCCTCATGACTCACTAAGACAATTTGTTTAGTATTCTTCTTTTTTTGTACTCATCATGCCATTGAAAGCCAATGAAAAATGGGTACCAAAGTACCCCTGTAGATGAAAAAGGCCAAAGCCAAAGGCCAGGATAATAGCAAGGGAACACAACAATGGTCGAGAGGAGAGATTGTGGGGAGCTGTCTTCAGTCAGCACCAGCAAAAACAGAGGAGAGGATGGGTCCAGGAGTTATCCAGAAAGCAGACCTAACTGGATTTGATGATTGGTAAATGTGGAGAGCAGAGAAGACAGCAACGTTTCACCCTCAGGGTTACAGCTTAGGTTGTTGGGAAGTGCACTGCAATGAAACAAATGAACTAAGGAGTGGGGCATACTTCGGAACATGTATCAAAAGCCAAGTCTTGGAATTTGAGGTGCTTGAGTGGTATCTTGGGGGATGTGTCTAGGCGGCAGTTGAAGATACAGTCCTGACACTTGGAAGTGAAGATTGGCTGGAACTGTCTATTAGCACACATGGAGTCCCAGACTCAGCCTAAACATAGTACCATCTACACAGTGGTTGGGAGCCTGGTTTCTAGAGTCAAATTCCTGAAGGTCAGCTACAAACTCCCTCATATTTGTGGTCCTCTTCTGGGTGTTTCAACTTACTTTGCCTCATCCTATCCATGAGGATAATAATAGTACCCATTTCCTTAGGCGACTTTCTGTAGGGATTATAATGGATTTAAACACTTGGAGAGTTTTATCTGTTATTTCTTTATCATCACTGTTAATCATCATAGCAAGTGTGGTACATAGGATTAGGAATCCCAGGTTTGCAGATGATGAAGCTGAGGCATACAGAATTTAAATTGTGCCCCTGCTATCACCCTACCAGTACACAGTCAAATTGGCATTTGAATCTGGATCATTCAGCCTCCTCTGTCCAAGGATGGTCCAACTCCATAGTCTAAACAACCAACCACTGAGGATTATAATTAGTCCATGAATGAGATTGGATCCCTCAGGGGAAAACAAACAATCTTGTCTGAGGCATGGCGTAGTGCATAACATGCTCCATAAGTAACAGGGGAGCCAAGCACTGATAAGAGAGAGAATAGTTTGGCAGGTACTCTATGCCTCGGGTGCCATCTACCTGTTGGAGGACTTGTATGATGGCTTTGAACTTTTAATTCCCCATCAGTTATCTGGATTTGTTGTTGAATTGGTACCATACGATGCTTCTCCTGAACTGTCCTTACCTTTTCTTTAATCATTTGTAAGTGCAAATAACAATTTACAATTGCAAAGTATTTCCATATCCAGGTCTAGTTGGACCCTCATGACCATCCTGAGAGGTAGGGATTATCACCCTACACTCTATATATGAAGAAATAAAGGCCTATACTGCAAAAGTGGCTCTCATTGGTATAAATGGATCTGCATTCATTTTGAGAGCTGTCATCTACCATCTATGACCCCTGGATAAGTTACTTTCTTCCCAAGGCTCAGCTTCTGTCTTAAGTAAACTGGAGATTGTCTTTCCTATTCTTTAGGTCATTAAAATGAGTTCAGAGTATCTGGTATACATTAAATAACTAGGGGCCAGGGGTAGAACAAATTCTAAACTCCAAGTTTCTGTCGCTCCTTAGACTGGCATGTTTGTGTATCACTGAAGAGAAGGCACAAAGGAAAATACAGTGAGCGGTTGTCATGGTTTGTGATGACAGTAAATGTTAACCACTAAGGGACTCTGATATCCAGCTAAGGAGAGGTGTGTGAACCAAGAGGGAGATGTTGAACTATTGTTACTTTTCCTGTGATGCATAGGGCATGAGCCATCTGAGAATCCACGTCCTGCCATTCCTCATTGTGTAACTAACCCAGATCTCTCAGAGCATTACTTTCCTCATCTGTAAAGTGGAGATATTTTTTTAAAGTCCCTGGATTTATAAGAACCAATTGGCATAAAATGCGTTGAACATTTACCCTGGAATAAAGCAAGTGTTCAACAAAATATTTCAATCCTTCCATCACACCTTCCTCCCCATGAAATATAGATATAAATATGGACATACTGTTCATTTCCATGAATATAAATTTTTAATTAACGGTTTGGGATAGAAATAAAAATAGCATGCATGACATCGAACCTGGAAGTTAGTGGGAAGAAGAAAATGATCTGCTGGAGTAAAATCTTTGTCTTCCTTCAGTCCAGCAAGAAGCCAGCCAAGATGACTCAATGGTCCAGTTATCTGTTGGGATGGACGACCTTCCTCCTCTACTCCTATGAGACAAGGGGGGGTGAGTATAATAGAAAATAATGGGGAGGATTTACAGACTGGGAAAGAATCAATAGGCCAAAGTTAAAATTTCTAGAGCCATGTAGGGCGGGGATGGCTTAGCAGAAATCTCAGACAGACCTGGGATTTAGACCCTGGATCTGCTACATCTTCTGCCTGTGACCTTGATTGAGCAGTGTAACCTCTCTGAAGTCAGTTCCCACCCTGTGAAGTAGAAATAATGATATTTACCTCCTAGGGCTATTTTGAATACTAAATAAAATAACAAATGCAAGTGTCTTTCACAGTGTTCAACAAATGTCTTTCACAATAGGGGAGAAGTAAATATGTTGACTGAAAAGAAAAGTTATAAAATTAATTCTAGTGGGCTGAACCCTCAGACCTTAACTTGGATGCCATAGTTATAATTTTAATGTATCTAGGAGTCTAAATGAGCCACCAAAGACTACAATAAGTGTGGACATAGGACACAGGGAAATTTTGATTCTACATAGTTCCCTCAAGCCACAATGAGACCTTTTCTACAATTAAAATCATTTGCAACCTGAAAAGTCCTGCTCCCTTGGATAAGGCTCAAAAAACACACTTGCATGCACTTTGATTCTTCGATGATCACATTGTTTATTCAAGAGATTCTTAACCAGGGTCACTAGATGAATGTAAGAGTCCATGAAACCCTGAATTTGTATTTAAAAACTGTGCACACTTAGCAGGATAGTTTAACACACACACACACACACACACACACACACACACACACACACACAAATCTTTTTCTTGTTCCTTGCTACATTTTGGACAGCAAGTGACCCCAAAGGCCTAGGTATTAAAAGTTTAATCCCTAGCACATGGTATTAGTGGGAGATGGCACAACCCTTAAGAGTTAGACCCTAAAAGGAAGTCCTCATGTCACTACAAGCTTGGCCTTAAAGGGGATCATGGGACCCCAGGTTTTCCTCACTCTCTTTTGCCTCCTGGCCTTGAGATGAGTGGTTTTGCTCTGCCTCCTTCTCCTGCCAGAATGAGCTGCCTTACCATAGACCAAAAGCCAATGGGGCCATTCAACCACGAACTGAAACTCCTGACCCCAAACAAACCTTTTCTCTTCATAAAGTGCTCATCTCAGGTGTTTGTTATAATAATGAAAAACTGACTAATACAATCCTACAAAGCCCAGGAGGGGAGACACTTGGTCAGCAAGCAACGTTCCATGTGGTCATTCAGGGGCCTACACTCCTTCCATCTTGGGGCTCCACCAATCCCTAGAATCTCAAAGTTCCTTGAGGATTCTTTTCTTTTAGCTGAGAGGAAAAGTTCAAGAGAATCTACAGGATCTTGGAGAAAATGTTTTTTGGAGGTGGCGGGTGGTGGTGGTATTTATTTGCTTGTTTTGTTTTGTTTTTAACAAGGCTAGACAATAACATACATCACTTCCACTTTCACGGTTCTGGAGTCCCTACAAGGGCATATTTAGAAAATATTTTCCTAGAGAAAACTTCTGAGTTCTCAAAACAGCTAAGTATGTTAACCTAAAAGGCTAAGGACTCACTGTTTATTCAAATAAGGAAAAAGCTACTTCTTGGGGTATCAGGTTTTCTAGTTATGATCTTGGTCGACCATACATTCCAAAGACCACACCCACATTCCTGTAGATTAACTTGGTATCATCAAGTCCCCTCTCCACATTTCACAAGCAGATTTACCAGTACACATTTATTGAGTGACCCCTAAGTTTCAGGCACTGTATTATGGACCACAAATGCAGTTATAAATAAAATCTACACCCTCTATGTAGGGAGCTCACAGCAAATGGAAGTGTAGATATACAACCTAATAACCCTTTTAAATTGGTAAATGCAGGTATAGAGATTGGTTCTGACTATTCTTTTGTGTATTGGGCAGTACTGGGGATTGAACTCAGGGCCTTGTACATGCTAGGCAACTGCTCTACCACTTAGCTACCTCTCCAGCCCAGCACTTGATTGTTTGACACATAAGGAAGATTACTGATGCAGGGAGTAGAATCAGAAATAGAAGAAAGGCACTGAGCACAGGATTATGGGTATGACCAAAGGCAAGAGAGAGTAGGGGGTAAGGTCAAAGAAATGTTAATCAGGGAGTGAAAACAGCAGGTCAGCAGGGTGTGGATTATGGAAGATTGTAGCCCAGTTAAGAAGATTAGGCCATCTGTTGTATTACTTTGCAGATGGCTAATAGTATTCATTATGTGTCGATTCTTGCTAACAATTCCCACAGTAACCTTAATTCCACATGCAGCCCTCAGTCCTCTCCCTCACCACAGTATCCCACATATTCAGTGGTGTCCGTGATTGTGGAAAACCATTGACAGCAACAATGATGGTGATGATGCTCATGACAGTGGATGATGACCATGATGATCCTGGCTGCTAATATCAGTCAAGGGTCAGTGATGCTCCAGGTGTTTTTCCCAACACTTTCCAAATTTGAATTGGTTAAAAAACCTCAAAAATGTGGCTCAACCTTTCTGAGACCCAGAGGTGAGAAGTGCAGTGTTACACTGGGATCCCTGCTTGGGTCAACCTACTGTTGAGGCTGGAAGATGGAAATCTGCCTTTTCCACTCCGTGCAGTTCATCCCTCAGCCCCACCAAGGCCCTTGTCAGATTAGGCAGTGTAAGAATCTGAAACAGAACAAGGGGTGGGGTGACCAGATTAGGGAGCTTGAAGACAGAGACCACATCTTGTCCACCTGTAGTGGTAGGACACTAACTGTTGGAACCACTCCACAATGTCAGTGATGTAGCTCAGTAGGAATATAGGTTTGTGTGAATGTTCACTGCAAAATTTCTTCTGCTGGGAACCAGAGAACAAACTCCTTCTTCTCTTTCTTCACCATTTGCTGGGGCCTCAGTACCCTTTGCCCATTCCTCTTTCTCAGTTTCCCCGCTTTGGTCCTTTTGACACTTGGAGCCAAACGAGTCTCTCCTCTGGGAGTTTTTCTATGCACCGTAAGGTGTTAAACAACATCCTGGCCAAGTGGTAGATTCCAGAGACCCAGCTGCCAGTCTCTTGCTATCCCAGTTGTAACAACCAAAAGTGTCTCAAACACTGTCTACAGAGCCCAGGAAGCGATCACTGCCCTTTTTTTTCTACTGAAAATAATCATTCACTATTGAGCTGGCAAACAGAGAAGAAAAATAATACAGAAGATTGGTCAGGACTTCTTTTGAACCCGGAAATGACAAACATCATTCCACCCAAAACTCACTGCTCATGCAGAAAGTACCTGCCAAAGTTCCTTATTCAGAGCCTTCTTTTTGTTCCTCAGAGTGAGGAAAGAAAGGATGAAAATGAAGGGGAGAAGAGAAAGAAGGGAGCTGTGGTCCGGGACTAGCAGATGAGAAAGATGAGTTTTATTCCAGTTCAACTAAAAAAAGTATTAATGTTAAATTATTCCTTATGTTGTACAGGTGTGAACTCACACAGTGAGTTTGGGCTGGAATGGCATTTCTTAAGATATGTTTTAGGGAATATTAATCTCTAGGGCTATTGAGTGGTGAAAAACAATAGGACATCTTCATTCACTCTATTATTCAATTCTCATTTGCATATTAATCTCCTTTGATGAGTTTCCATCTAAATGAGAGACCTGTTTTATTTGATGTAGCATTTTATCAACTTGCTTTTTTTCTGTCAGCTTTTTCTTGAACATCTACTATGAGCAAATGGACATTTGAGGTCCTGTGAATACACTAAGCAAAAGACAAAGTCTTTGTTTGCATATGAAAATATAAAAAGATCAAAGTCTATGTTTCCTGAATTGTACACATCCAAGTGTCACTCTCCTTATATTTACCACATCACAAACACTATTATTTATTCAAAAATTTTCTTTAAATTTTCTCATTTTGCTTCACCGTAATAAATTCCTTCAACGAGATTTATGTCACTTTGTAATGGAAAAAAAGCATTACTACTGCCCACATATAGCAATTATAAATAAAAGAAAATTCTATGAAAAAGCCTATTACGAAATTTCACCAGATACTGTTGTTCAAGTACAGCTTTGAGCCTGAATGTTACTCTTTTTTTTTTATTAAAATGGGAGATTTCTAAGTGTTAGAGATGTGGTTGAGAAATGCCAGTATTAAATTGAAGTTTTCTGTACAATTGGAAGGATTGAAAAGACCATTGGAAGGGATTTTTTTTTTGCCAGTATGCTTCAAAATTAGTATGTGTCTCTGCATTGCCTAACATGATCCTGTAATCTATCCTAATGTGTCTTATGTAGCACTAATGGTGTCCATTCTGTACTCTGATAAACAGAGACCTGGGGAATAGTATGCCTTAGCTGTCTTTATTGCATGTGAAACTTCCCTAGCACTGTTTTTTTCTTTTTTCTTTTTTGAGGCAGGGTCTTGCTATGCAGTTCAGGCTGGCATTGAACTCACTTGGTAGCCCAGACTGGCCTTGAACTTGCAGCAATCCTCTTGCCTCAGCCTCCTGAGTACTGGGATTATAAGCATGTGCCACCATGACCAGATTCCCCTACTACTATTGACGCAAATATGAACTGGATGCATGCTTAGATGGCATCAGGAAGTTTGATGCTCAGCTTAAGTATTAATGTGGATATCTTAGAGCATTTTTCAGGGCATCTTGTTCCTTGTTAACTTTTCACAAACATTTATGTTGCAAATTGAAGTTGTACATCAGGCTTGCAAATTGTTGAGACCTTTTGCTGAAGCCTCACAAAAGTCTTTTCAGACTTGGATAAGGGTGTGCATATGCTTTAATTTTGTGGGGAAAGATGGGGCATCAACTCATCAGGAGGCATGAATAGTTCTTGTGTTTATTTTTGTATTATACACATTTATAGCATATAATGATCACATTCGTTGTGGAAATTTGTAAAGGCACACAACACATCCTAATTCTTTTTTCTGTCCCCTCCCCCTCCCCTCAAACCCTTCTTCCCATTCCCACTTGTAAAAGCTCTATTTCCATTTTTTCCCCGTGCTGTTTCTAGCAAATGTTAGTGTAGTGCCTCATGAGGACCTGCATGTGCTGAGGAGGATTGTGCCAGCAGAGAAATTTGAGTGCTCAGAACGGTAACAGGGGGGCAGAGAGACCAAAGCAAAGACCAAACCAAGATGCATCTCATCCATCGTGACTTACCCCTCGTCCTTTGTTCTTCTGTCCTTCAGAACTGAGAGAGAACTGTGTCTTCCCTTTCACTTACAAGGAGTCTGTTTACTTCACTTGCACCAAAATCAACAGCTTCCTCCCTTGGTGTTCAACCCGAGCGTTTTACGACGGCAGGTGGAAATACTGCATGATTGAAGGTGAGCGACAGAATACCACAGACCAGGAGCTTACGATGTCTTTACTTATGTTAACTAATTTATAAAATGTCTATCTAATTTGTTATTAATTAATTTTGAATTTATTTCTTACATGTGAACTGCAGGAAGATATCAACATCCGGATAATTTTACTTTTTTACCTCACTGGAGTTTTTTTTTTTTTTTTTTTTTTTTTAGTAACATTAACTTTTTTTGTAAATCATGATCTTGACTTTATCTCTTGGTCATAAATCAAACAAGATTCTTAGCCCCTTATAGATCTGTTGGTGATATCACTGATTTACTTTGGAGATACTATGTAAAGTATGTCAGATATGTTCGTTTGGCAGGTGTGAACATCCTAGACTGAGCCTGGGAGCCCCATTGGAGAAGTTTCGTGGATGAGAGGATATGAGTAGGCTTAACCCAATGTTTGATGAAATGAGTTCAAAAAAGTCTCTTTCAAACTATGTGGCCTGTACTTTGATGGTTGATTGATGGATGGATGATAAAATGACTTTGTTCTGTGGCTGACTAGACAAAGTTAGGCTGCTCATGAATTCTGTCCTGTACAGATTACCCACGTTGTGTCTTCCCCTTCATCTTTCGTGGAAAGAGCCATAACAGCTGCATCTCAGACGGCAGCTTCATAGGAAAGATGTGGTGCTCAGTCACATCCAGCTTTGATGAGAAGCAGCAGTGGAAGTACTGTGAGATGAATGGTGAGCTGGGGGAGCCAGGAGGGCTGTGTGGTGGGAAGGGAGGTGCACAGCTGCTGTCATCAAGAGGGGATGTGGGCAACTCGGGGTAGCACTTCTGAGAACCAAGTGTCTTCTCAAAGAGAGCACCACACAAGAGGCATTTCCTGCGGTTACCTTCCCCAAGGCCTAAAAACCAACAAAGCAGACCAGGCATCCTGACAACTAAACTTATAGGATGTAGTCTTGATACTGTTTGCTTGGGGGGGGGGGTTGGTTGTTTATTTGTTTTTAGAATTGACACTAACCAAATTCACCCCTTGACAGATGCTCCATACATTTTGATGTACTTTAACATCTAATACTAATTCTACACTTAGCTCTAACTTTGTAAGGACCAACATTCATTCAGTGGTTTCTGTGTGTTGGACTCTGACCTGGAAGGTTTGCCTATAGTATCCTGTTGAATCTTTCCATGGCAGCTCTAGAAAGTCCTAGTGCCCAACCCACTCCATTCAATAAATGGCCCCAGTAAAATTAAGTGCTTTCCATGATCATATTCCTAGGCTATGCTGGAGTTAGAATTTGAATTCAAGTCCATTCAGCTGCAAAGCCCATGCCCTCTCATTAAGCACTGTTGCCTCCAAAGGGATAAAAGTGTATGGAAAGGTCCTTGTCCATGGCCATATTCATTTTTACATAAAAATCTTCATTATGTTCATTATGTTCTTCCCTTGACATTAAAAAAGTCCTAACCCCATATCAAACCTTGATTTTATCGTATCTAGCTCAAGGCATCCATCACTTGTGTTCCTAACATTAAACTAATTTATCCTTAAGTCCCACATAATGTTGTCCTAATACTTAACCTAACTTTTCATCCAACTTTGTCCATCTCTACTCCTGCCTCTAAATTCCATTATTAATGTTCTCATTGTTGCTACCATTTTAAACACTAAAACAAATGGATGGATTGGTAAAGATCACAGTTTTACATTAGTATCATAGTGCCCTGTACAGATATAAGTCTGTTTCAAATCTCTTACAACTTAACTCAGAGGTAAGTCTTTTTCAAATCTCCTTACAATTTAACTCCAACATTAACATCTAAGTTTCTGTTTATGCTTAATACCACAAAGCCCCTCAGACTTGTGATACAAGTAATGTATTATTTTAATTTGGATGGGGTAATAAATTATAATTTCCACAAGTCACTAAACAGATGTATGTGAAAAGGTCCCCCTCAGCTCTGGCTTCCCCATTACACTGCAAAGTTGTTAAACCTCTTGGTCATTTTTATTATCTGTACAATAGGGACACTGAGGCTGACCTTACAGGATGTTGTAAAGATTGGGTCTCTCATGTAGGATTTCTCGTGATGCCACAATAGGTACCTAAGAAATGTGACTTCTCCTCTGCTACCATCAAAACTACTAGCCTGAAAATAGGCGTGGAATCTGGACTTGAGTTAGAACTTGGAAGTTGTAATATATCACTGTGTGATCTTGAACATGTTAGTTTTTTTTTAAAAAAATATTACACATTGGAGCCAGGGATTTAGCTCAGTAGTTCAGCGCCTACTTGGCAAGTGTGAGGTCCTGAGTTCTATTCCTGGTACCCATAAGAAAACCACACCTTATCTTGTTAACTTATAGGAATCATTGCTGTGTCAGATAGTGGTCTAAGTACTTCATATGAAATAGCTCATATATGTTTTATGATGACCCCTGTAAGATAAATCTAATCATTAGTCCCATTTTACAGATGGGGAAACTATTTATAGAGAATCATTTGTTAAGTAGAAGAGCTGTGATTTGAGGCCAAGAAGCCCAAACTTCAGAACTGTGCTCTCAATCACTTGTCATTATTGCCTCTAGACACCAAACCCTTCATCAAGTTCTGACTCCCTGTATAACACCACAAGAAATTGTGTAAGCTTCTTGCTTACTGAATGTGTTAGTCAGTGCTGCATTGCTGTGACAAAATACCTGAAACAATGAATTTGAAAGGAGAAAAGATTTATTTTGGCTCACAGAAGTCTTGGTCCACAGTCGCTTCACACCACTACTTTGGGTCTGTGGTAAGGCAGAACATCATGGTGGGGAGCACTTGTTGTAGCAAACCTGGTGGCAGCCAGGAAGCAGAGGAAGAGGAAGGAGCCAGGGTCCCACTACACCCATGTCTTGATTACTTTTCTCTCTTTGCTGAGACAAAATACCTGACACCAAAAATTAAGGAAGGAAAGGTTTATTTAGCTTACAGTTTGTGGAGGTTTCAGTCCATACTTGGCTGGCTCCAAGGCAGAGTGGCACAGGGCAGAGGGCAACAGTTCATGGCGGTGGAAAACAGCCAAAGCAACAACAGCAAAAAGGGAGGCGGGGCGGCAAACAGCCTCTTTCCTTCCCTTACATTGTATGCAAACTACCCGCCCCAGGGCGGGTGTAGCACTCACATCCATAATTCCAATATTGGACCGTGAATCAATCATAAACTCTAGAAGCTCACCCCATGACTGCATGAGGCTTTGCAGGGAATTCAGACACAAACCTTAACAACCCCCTTCAAGGGCATGTCCCCCGTGACCTATTTCCTTCAACTGAGACCCACCTCCTAAAGTGTCTACCACCTCCACCAGAGCACAACAGGCGGGCAACTAAGCCTTTGGGGCATGTATACTCCAGACACAAACTGCAACACCAAAGTAAGGGCAATTACAACTTTGACATTATTAATGGAATACCGAAGCAAAGCCTGGAGATGAACGAGGTCTGGCGGTCTGGTGGATCTTTCAAGGTGGGGCTGTGATGTGAACTAAGCAAGGATCACAGCGCTGTGGTGTAGGGTTGGTGACCTTGGCAAACTGAGAGGAGGAATTCAAAGAGGTGAGTAGAGTGAGTGATCTACCAAAACGACATCTACTGAGAAGTTTAGCAGTCTGATTTTTTTTTCTTTACTTTATGAATTGATTGTTTTCAAATTAAAACCACCACACACCTGTCAAATTGACTGTTATGAAAAAGATAAAAGGTAACAAAGATTGGCAGAGATGTGGAAAAAAGAAAACCCTTGGGTATTGCTGGGGGGAATGAAAATTTGCAGAGCCATTACGGAAAGCAGTGTGGGAGTTCCTCAGAAAAATAAAAGAAGATCAACCACGTGATCCAGCAATCCCACTTCTAAGTATATTTTGAAAGAAAATGAAATCAGCATGTTGAAGAGATAGCTTTACCCCCATATTCACTGCGTTATTCACAATAGCTGTGGTAGGAAAATAATCAGTGTGCCCATCAGCAGATAAATGGAGTTTTTCTAAAGTTATATATATATATGGCTGAAATACTATATATCCTTTAAAAAGGCAGAATATGCTGTCATTTGTCACAACATGGATGAACCTAGAGGACTTAAACTAAGTGAAAAAAGCCACATCCAATGTTTATTTAAATCATTTTTCAAGAAGCTCCTAGAATGTACAGTAAAGCTATTGGCAACTCTTATCTTCCCTGCAAGAGTTCCCTAGATCAGTAGAGTTAACTTGATGAAGATCACAGAACAATAAGGTCCTGTGCATGTGGACAGCAAGCTGTGTGGGTGTTGCTGGCTTTGGTTCTCACTCCACCGTAAGGCGTAAAGAATAGATCCCCATGAAGTTGCTTGGAGGGCTTGGTATGATGTGATCCTTCATGAAATAAAGTTCAGGGCAGATTGCGTGTGTTAAATGGAAGCCCTTTCCATCTCCTCCTCCTGACACCTGTCAACTTGTATGATCGTTTCAGAGTACGGGGGAAATTCTTTCAGCAAGCCCTGCATCTTCCCCTCCAAGTACAGGAACAGTGTGATCACAGAATGCCTTGAGAATGAAAGCAACAAGCTTTGGTGCCCAACCACAGAAAACATGGATAAAGATGGAAAGTGGAGCTTCTGTGCAGACACAAGTAATCTGGGAGAGGGGACTGGCTGGGCATGGGTGAATTCTTTCACTTAATTACTCAACAAATACCACATGTAGCCCTATTGTGTTCCAGGCACTATGCCGGGCACTGAGGGGGGAGTAAGGCAGAGAGTCTCGCTCTCATAAATCTGAGAAACAAACAGTGCTAACGATGTGTAACTGTGTTTTAAGATCCAAGGGAGCCAGGCGTTGTGGCGCACGCCTGTAATCCCAGCACTCGGGAGGCAGAGGCAAGAGGGTCATTGTGAGTTCGAAACCAGCCTGGGCTTCAAAGTGAGCTCAAGTTCAGCCCAAACTGCATAGCGAGACCTTGTCTTAAAAAGACAAACAAAACAAAACAAAACAAAACAAGAGCCAAGGGAAAGGTGGCAAAATAAAAATTCAAAATCTTATACACCACTCCTATAAATACAGGGTAAACATATGCTAAAGTTTTAAAAAATAATAAAGGTGTAGAAAAGAAGTATAGAAATCCAGTTTGAAGGGAGGTAAAAGAAATGCTGAGCTGGAAAAGATTGCTAAGTTAGATACAACATCCACTGATGTCTAAAGAGCAATCAAGCCTCTGAGCAATCTTATCCACTAGGTAGAAATTATTTGCATCTATAGCACAAAAATACTTCACAGCCTGTCGATCCTCTACATGTTACATCTAACAGCTGATGGGTCTGGGCGTCTAGTCAATAGCAAACAGTAGGTCAGGCAGTTATATTTTCCCTAGTGGAGGGCTTTGTACACTTCCTAACACCAGTGAAAAATCTGGATAAATTCTTATATATGTGCAGCCCCCAATCTAAGAAAAGAGTTCACCTATTTATATGGTTGGGGAAAATCAAAAGAAGGATAATATTTTGTGACAAGTTAGAAGATATAAAATTCAAACTCCAGAGCCCATCAAAAATTGTATTGGAATACGGCAGGGTTATGGAGCACCACGGCTACTGTCCACCTACGACAGCAGAGTTAAGTAGCTGTGACGGAGACTGTGTGGTGCACAAATCCAAATATATCTACAGAAAAATTATGCTGACTTTGAGCTAGAATAACAAATGGCTTTTAGGGGCTTGCTGGAAGATGTTCAAGGGTGACTTTAAAAGGTCGTGTGACAATGTTATTCAATGTTACTCAAGTTTTGGATAATTTTTTGTTAACAAAAGATTTCAAACCAAGATCTGGCAGGGTGATCAGAGAAAACCTAGAGAGAGAGAGAGAGAGAGAGAGAGAGAGAGAGAGAGAAACCTGTAACCCTGGGAAAGTGCACTCAGTTTTGTGCTTGGGCGATGTGCAGCAGGCCCTGTTTGGGTACCATTTTGCTCAGGGATGAGCCTTGCCTCTCGTGCCCCATTTCTTGAGGTTATCTAAGTCTGTAGTCTCTGTTCAAGGGTCTTCTGTGTGTCTGGAGGTGTTCAGTCCTCTATGATGACTCACCTGGAAGTGAGTCATTTACACTGGAAGATACAGCTAGTTATGCTTATTCGCCGTAGTTGTAATTTATAAAGTCACTGCAAACATTAAATCACTGCTCCTTTGGTGTTAGATTCCTACCAGCCTCTGCTCACAGTTTGTCAGCTGATCAAGGCGTGACCTTGGCTTGGAGGTATTTCTGTTAAAAGATATCTTATTTAGTTGATTCGTTCTCAATCAATTCCCAGCCAACAGCACTGTAATTCATGACTGAACTCACACCAACAGCATTTCCGCAGGTGCCTGGAGGACACTTTATGTGTATTTTCTCCATAAGGCACATCACAACATCCGTGTGTAAAAACACCAGTAAAAATTTCAACAGTACGTTTGGGAGCCATTGTAAGCAATGAAATTGCCAGGAAAAAAAAACTATGCAAATTAGAAAGATATGGTACTGGTCCATGGAAAAGGCACTTGCTCACAGTAGGGGACCAGAAATGAGCAGGCGGTATCACCTCCCTTGACTTCAGCTGAGAATGTATCCATCAGGGGCCTCCAATTCCTCACTACTGTGTGTATCTGCTGGGTCTGCAGAAGCACCGTGAGCATTCATTTTGGGGCTTCAAATACGTTTCACTGAGTAGGCCAGTTTGCAAATACAAATCTATGAAAAATGAGGATCCACTGAAATTTGTCCCATGAGTGCCTCTACTCCACTCCTTAGTCCCTCCCGGTGGCAGAACATTCTCCTCCTTCCCTCCCAGGATTCTCACTCTGCCCTTCTTCTCCATTCTCTCCCCACCACCCTTTCCCAAGTCCTAAACTCAGATGACTTGCGAGGAAGAAAACTCAGCCCATGAAATTCTCCTAACATATACAATGGGGTCCAAACGCTCTTCCAGTGGGAGCCTCTGGGCTAAACCCAAACAGCGTAGCACACGCAGCAGGCACCTGATTTTGAACCTAAGGTGGACTCTGAAGCCCAAGCCCGGGTTACAGTGCGAACCTCCCAGGAATAACCTGTCTTATCCATTTCCTCTGCCTAGGAATGTCCTCATTGGCACCTGGTTTTCCCTGCCACTTCCCATTCAATTATAAAAACAAGAATTATTTTAACTGCACCAGCAAAGGATCAGAAAAAAACCTCTCGTGGTGTGCAACTTCCTACAACTATGACCAGGATCATACCTGGGTATACTGCTGAGGCTGAGGTGAGAGCCAAGACCGAACTGGGGTGCACCTCTGATGTGCAGGTGACAGAGGTAGCACATCTAGCTGTGTCACTGATAGGAAAGTGAGATCTGTTCTTCCCAGCATGTCTGATCAACTGAGGTTCCTAGCAAGGTGGGCTCTACTTTCTAAAAATAAGCTAAGGTAGGGAAAATACAAGAACACCTTCCAAAATTAGAAGGCTAGAAGGAATTAGGATTTTCCTGCAAAGCAAGAGAGCAGAACGAGGATGACAAGGCTTTTTCAAACACCAAAAAGTATCATTCCAAATTGCAGACATGGGAGGCTTTAGGTGTGAAAGATTAGAAAAGTAGAATTTCTCAAACAGAAGGTGATACAAAAAGACAAACTGGAAAAGGGGACAACCTGGACTTCCTGGCCCCCAGAAGGCCTGCCATCATGTTCCTAATCCATTACCACCATTTGGGTAGCTGACCAAAGAAAAGGTGTAGGTTTAATTTGCTTCCTTTATCCCTTGAGGTCCCTTCCCAACCTTAGCCAATACGTCACCCACTATCTCTACAAGATCAAATTCATGTCCTTTTCTCCCAGTCTTTTCCTGCTAGCTCCGCCCCTGGGTTAGCTTCAGCATTCTCTAAACTACAGAAATTTTCCCTAGACTTCCTGGGTAGACCAGCTGACCTCATCACTCTGTGACTTTTGGAATCTAGACACAAAGAGAAAACTTTCTGGTCAGTGTGTGGACAAAACACCACTACTGCTTCCTCCAAGATGGAAAATTCTGGTGGTTCAGACAGCATTGGCCCTTTCGATACCCATGGTTTATGGATGATACCAAATTAGTGACTCTTCCTGTATTATTGTCTACCAGTAAGAAATATCTTCCCTGAATAGAGGAGAGGAAAAGAAGTGGGTTTAGAGTTCTGGAGAGAATCTCAACGGGGAGGACATTTAAGAGCAGACACAGTGGTCTGCAGTGTGTGGCTCAGATTAAGAATATTTTTAGCTCCCAGACTCCAAAATTCATTGCAGGCCCTTTGACTATTCCTTCTCCATGCTCATGGCAGATATCAACAGTTGATTCCAGAATCCCATTCCCTCTGAGCCCAGATTCCTTATATTGTTACTGGTTACTCTTCTCCTTCTCTTCTTCCTTTCCTTCCTCCTCCTTCTTCTGTCCTTGCTTTACAGCAAGACCATCTCTTTGCAGGTTTGTCACCCACCTCTATTACCATAAAGGTGAGACTAACAGGTCCACTGTTCATTGATTGACTTATACCCCTGAGTCACATGGTGGGAAGGTGCCTAACTACTTCCTTTTACTTCTCATTGAGTCTTCATATCAATACACATTCACCTTCTGTGAAATGCTAGCGATGGGACTGGGGCCTCACACATGCTAGGCAAGTGCTTTACCATCCTCTTATATCCTTGACCACTTTTTATTTTGAGACAGGGTCTCACTCAGTATCCCAGGTTGGTCTCAAACTTGAGATCCTCCTGTCTCTGGCTCCCAGATAACAGAGATTAGAGGTGTGTGGCAACATATCTGCAACAAAGTTATTTGTATTGAAAATACCATAATTTTGAGCCAATGCATACTTATTCCTTGAACTTTGACACTGGATTCTTTCTTCAGGGAGAAGAAAAACACCTTCAGAGGAAGACTGCCGTGTTGGGGATAGAACCTCGTCTGTCTTTTTCATTGCACCTTTCAAGCTCAGAAAAATCACTTTTAGAAATACCGTACCACTTAGTTATACGGTCTTTACTGAAGAAAGAGGGAAAATGTGGCATGACCACCAATAAAGAAGTCCTAAATCAACCCTAGGTGCTGCCTTGCTGCCTTCTTGCATGAGAGTGACGGTGGGCGTGTGGGAAAGGTATGGTGGTTCATGGCATGCACAATTGATCAAACAATAGAAGCATTAACTGCTTCTTTCAATGAACTAATAGAAATTGGCAGTATAATTATCTCAGCTATCGTGTGTGTGTGTGTGTGTGTGTGTGTGTGTGTGTGTATTTATATATTTTTCCTCTTTCTTCTTTTCTCCATTTCCCCAGCCCAGTTTCTCTTTCCTTTTGGAAGTTCTTCCCATTTCACAATATCTATTGTACATTTGGGATCTTATTTACTCTTTCAGCTTCTCACACTAGGGAGACGATATGATGTTTACACGTGCGTGTCTGGTTTATTTCCCTTATGAGTATGGTCTCAAGTTGCATCCATTTACCTACAAAAGTCTCCAGCTTATCCTTCTTTATGGTTGAGTTGTACCCCATTGTATAAAAATGCCGCATCTTTTTTATCCATTCCTCAGTGGATGGGCATTTGGGTTGTTTCCAAGATCTAGCAATGACAAATTGTGCTGCTATAAATATGGGTGCACATATATCGCTGTGATATGATGTTTTTAATTCTTCTGAGAAGATACCCAGAAGGGGACTAGCTGGGTCAAATGGAACCTCTAATCCCAGTTTTTTGAGTACTCTCCACACTGATTTCCACAGGGGTTGCACCAGTCTACACTCCCAGCACAATGGGGACCCCTCTCCAAATTCTTTCTGTGTCCAATCATCTAATTTTATTTCCCTCAAAGTATTAACCCCAATCTGAGCTTCTCTTAAATACTATCATTTTTCTTCTCCCCTCACACTGGAATATAACCTCCAAGAAAGCAGAACCTAGCATGGGGCTCTTCCCAGGACTCGGAATAACCCCTGGGTTGCTGCATGAAATCGTGCTTGTTTCCCCCTATTACAGCAGTCACTAGCCAGATGAGACTGCTTAAATTTAACTTAAGCCATTAATATTCTTCATCAACAGAATTGTGTTAATAAAATAATGCCATAAAATTCAGGGTCTCGGCCCTAAAGGCTGAAAACTCAGTAGTCACACAGGGCTTGTGGTTGTCCTGATGGATGGAGCAGATCTAGAGCATTTGTGTCAGCGCAGAGGACCCTGCACTCTTGCAGAATGTAAGGCAAGTCCCCCGCCTTTGCCCTGCTTACATCGACTGGGACAGTGCCAGGTACAGAGTATTTAGCAAATAATTTTTGAAGGAGTAAGTGATGAGTGGATGGATGAGGGTATAAACAGAACGAGCTGGAGCTGAGGAATGGGAAAGCCAGAGTGTCAAAGGGTGAGCTGGACCATGCCATTCTTCTGCCAAAAATCCCACAGATCCTTGAGATGGTCTCTGAAATCATCCTTTCACGATCTAACTTCAGTCCACTATGACTTCTTACTATCCACTCATCCCCCTAGCCACCCTGGTCTCCTTGCTATTCTCCCCAGAAGCACAAGTGTATTCCTGCCTCAGGGCCTTTGCATTTGCTATAGTTCTGTTTCAGATGGTCTCCCCTAAATAAGCAAACACCTGTGCTCAGTGAACTTCCTGACATCCCGCAGAGAACTCCACAAACAATTTGTCTGTGTCAGATTTTTGCATAGTTGTTCTCACCTCATTCATATCTATCATATTTATTTCTTTTGTTCCATGCTTATTTCCTCCTATTATTATGTAAGCTCTTGAGTTCCAGGGATTTGTTTATTTCATTCATTGTTATACATAGGTCCCTTGCACTAGCAGTCCCTGAATATATTGCTATTGAAGATGGAAGGAAGGAGAAAAAGAGAGACAGACAGAGAAAGAGAGACACAGAGAGACAAACACACACACACACACAGAGAGAGAGAGAGAGAGAGAGAGAGAGAGAGAGAGAGAGAGAGAGAGGACTTATGGGTCTTAAAAATAAAATTATTCCAGGGTAATAAAGAATGGCCCAAAAAGTTGCCACAGATAAGAGGTTAGAGAATGGATTATTCTGAGCCCAACTTTTCTTTCATTGTATAAACCAAGGCTACTGACCGAGCTAACCCATCCTGTACACCAGCTTCATGGACTTCAAAGTGAGAAAAAGCTTGGTGGAAGGTGTGAAATGAAGTCTTTATTCTGAGGAGCTGTGCATTGCCGCAGTGTACTGTTCTCGGGTGGAGGAATGACCTTTTCAGTGTCGCAGCAGAGAGCAGCAGTGGGATGTGCGGGTGGAGCACACTTCCCATCTAACACAGAGACTTCTAGGGCAGCCCGGGGTAGACCAGCATGGAGGCAGGTGAAGTCCAGGAACGGCTTTGCAGTCAGCTGGCTAAGCAGGGGATTTGGAGGATCCTCTCTCTCTCTCTCTCTCTCATGATATTTTGTAGGGGATTAATTCCCCAGGGAGGATCGACCTACCCTAAACCTTCATAATCCAGCTTTGTGATTTAATTCTGTTCCCCCAAGTATCTTACACCAAGAGAGAGGGTGTGAGAGGGCACAGGGGAAAAAAATAGACTGTGCTTCCAGGAACTCGGGAAAACTCCCCTTGAGAGCCTCCTAATGACCCTCGCCAAGCCCGGCAGTACCAAGTGCCCAGTCTTAGCCCAGCACTGGTGTGATCCCTCCTGCAGAGGTTGAAGCCTAACTGTGCAGGGGTCACCAGTAGACTTGTGTGTCCAGGGGAAGCTGGGGATGGGACTCTGGCAGGCCTCAGGAACTTAGAACTGCAGGAGGGAAAAGGGAGGTTATTAATCACTGCTCTTTTTGGAATGGCAACTGGGCCCCAGTGTGGCGACATTTCACACATAGGCTCTTTTCTCTGAAGCTAGTTTTACAGATGCCTCCCATCACCATCCCACAAAGCTACCGCCTTCACTGTAACCTCACGCACACTGTGCAAGGCCACTCCCTCCACCCTCCCACGCTCTGTCATGCAAGGGGCCGCAGAGGTTCCGTCCTCCGCACGCATTTCATCCACGTTGCCCGGCGGAGAGCATCTGGAGCTTCCAGGACCTCCTCAGCGAGACATCATTTTCACAAACTCTGCAAAGAAAAGTCCCCGTGAGGTGCCTCTTTGTACTGCACCCAGCACTATTTTTTGAACATTTCCTATGTGCCGAGCAATGACATGGATCTTTGAGGAATTACTTCACTTCTCCATGTCTCCATGGCTTCATCTCTAGAAAGGGACTCAGAGAATTACCACCTTCCACATACGGTGTTTAAGACGGTTAAGTGGCATAATGTTCATAAGACAGGTTAAGTGTTCTATGAATAGTAACTATTAGTATCTTATTTCATTTTTTTCACCTATCCTGGAGAGATGCCATTTTACACACAAGGACACTGAGGCTGGTAAGAGTAACCAGTGTGCCTGAGGGAAGGAGGATGGTGAATAGCTAACCCCGGAAGGAGCGCAGGTTGCCCTAGACTTCACTGTGACTCAAGGCCGGATGCGTCTGCTGGCTCTGCCGCATCGTGAGGTTCTCTTGTCTGTGAGTCATCCAAAACCCTGTCTCTCGGCTCCATCTCCACCTTTCCCTGATTTTCATCAATGTCTGCTATGCAGCTGAGCCCCACTAGATCCAGCAAATTCCCCACAAACATCTACTACGTTTCAATTTGGAGGCTCGTACCGCAGACACAGTTTAGAGAAAACTCCTCCGCTGCCCTCCGGATGGAGGCAAATGCAGTCCTGGAGGCAAACGCAAAACAGCTTCCATGGAGAGGAACCGAGAACCTTCTACAGGGCTCCGGGCCTGGGAGTTATGCGCTCAGCTAAGGGGGAAGGGGAGCTCTTAGCAAAGAGTGGTCGGCATGTGTCCTTGAGGGAGCACAAGAACTAAAGGTATAGTAAGAGGACAGAGTATCCGCTGCAAAGGAACCAGAGTTGAGGAACACAGTGCTGATTTCGTGCTCGCACCAAAACATAATAATTTAAAGTGGGGCTGTAGATGATATGGCTGGCTAGATGGCTGGGGCGAATGAGGCATGCACTTGAGTAGCTGACTAAGAACGGTGGATGTTTTTGTATAGGCAGCAGCTAGACGCAGAGCACTGGACCAGGGAGTGTTACACTTAGAACTCAGTGTGCCTGATTCATGCCTTTTGCAGAAATAATCCCCACTCCCACCCACACAGATCTCTAATCTTCTTCACTTATCCAATTATTCAATACACACGTGTTGAGCTCTGCCCTAAGAATTGGGGCTATAACGTTGAGAAGAGAATTAGGGTCATTAGAGTGAAAAATAGGAAATGAATTCTTTCAAGTTACTGATGCCGTAGATGTGTCTCTGAAGAGGCATGCACGGGTATGGTGGGGCAGCTCAGAGGAGGGACATCAAGCACGGTACCATGGGTAGGAGGTGACTTCCACAGACATAAACCTGATCTAACCCAGGGAAAGGATGGCTTTCTAGACAGGAAGCATGACATGATCAATGATGGAAAAGGACAGACACAAATAAACTAATTTTTGAACTGTGACCTTTATGCACGATTTCTTTTGGTTTTCTCCAAAACCTTGAGAGAAAGTTGTCGTGCTTACCCCATTTTGCAGATGTGAAAGTGAACATGGAAAGAACACAGGTGACCAGATCAACCCACATGTTTAGTAGGAGATGATGCTGAATTTCAAGCCCATGAATCTGATCTAAGAGGGTCAGCTACTAGGCAGCCCACCCGCCTTCTGGTGGGACATCTTGCTCCTAGGACACAGGTGCCCAGGGAGCCAGGAAGGGATGGGAGATGTGGCTGAGTCCTCATTATGGGGGAACGAGGGCCTCTGGGGAAGGAATTTCCATGAGCCTTGAGGAGTGGGACACAGAGCTCTTCCCTTTCTGACACTGGGGCAGGAAGCCATGGAGTGAAGAGTTCTAGATCTACCGTCTGCTCCAAGCTCACACTTGGAACCAAGTGGGAAGGAGTGGCCCGCCCAGAAAACCACGCAGAGAATCAGAAGTGGGTCCCCTCAGAGGCTGCCCCCCCCCGTCACCTTCAAAGTCCACCGTGCCATCTCCGTTAATGTCAGCCTCCTGCACCACCTCAGCAATCTCCCGGGGTGTGAGCTTTTCTCCCAGGAGCCTCTGCATGGCCTGCTGCAGCTCCCCCAGCGTGATCTCCCCATCCCCGTTGGCGTCAAACTGAACAGAAACAGACGGGACCGCATTAGCAATGTCAGTGATGACAGCGACGGTGAGGGTCTGTGCTTGTGGGTCACTTCCTGGGGGTTACGAACCAGGCTGAGCGCATGGGGCACATCGTCCACTGGAACATCCACAGTTTGAGGAAAGCTTTCTTTAAAAGTTTACATGTATCTTAATTATTTTAAGCAGCTTTACCGGGGTATACAAAAGCTGCACATATTTTTTTATTTTAAAGAGAATAAAAAAGCAATAAAAACAATACAGAATTTCAAAACAAGATGATAGGAAATTATCAATGGTTATTATATTGCATATTGTTATCTTCAAAGGCGTTGCTCAGATCATCAGATGTAAGCATGTAAGCCTGATCACACCATATAAGCACTAACTGTTCCTTTCAATAAATTAATAGGAATTAGTAGTACAATTATCTTAGCTATCTTGTGTATGTGTGTGCGTGTGTGCATGTGTGTATGTGTAGGGGTGTGTGTGTGTATTTCCTTCCTTCTTTTCTCCTTTCCCCTGTCCCAATTTTCTTTCTTTTTGAGCATAATATGTATTGTACCTTTTAAATCTCATTTACCTTTCATAATATCTATTGTACCTTTTAAATCTCATTTACTTTTTTAGTTTCTTACACTAGGGAGACAATATGATGTTTATGCATGCAAGACTGATTTATTTCACTTATGAGTATGGTCTCTAGTTGCACCCATTTACCTAAAAAAGCCTCAAGTTTATTTTTCTTTAGAGCTGAGTAATACTCCATTGTATAAAATTACCACTTCTTTTTGATCCATTCCTCAGTTGGTGGGCATTTGGGTTGTTTCCAACAGTTAGCTATGACAAATGGAAAAGCTGCATGTATTTAATGCATATAAATCAAAGAGTTTGGACCTCTGCAAACACTTGTGAAACCCTCACCTTCGTCAGAATAATAAACATATCCATCACCTCCAGAAGTGTGCTTGTATCTCTTAATTTCATTTGCTTGTTTTTTGTTTTGCTTTATTTTATCCTGTTTTGTCTTTGTGTGGTAAGAACACTGAACATGGGATCTCTCCCCTTACACTGTTAAGCGCACAGTACAAATCGTTAACTGTGTGGCTGTGTGAAGCAGCGGGTCTCCAGAATTCAGTCATCTTGCACAACTAAAACTTTGTACTGTTGAATGGCAACAAGCCTTTTGCACTCTCTGCTTCTGTGAATTGGATGATTTTAGAAACATCCTATGAATGGAGTCATCTAGCAGTTTTTATTCTGTGGATCCATAGATACAGTGAATATTATTTAGCCTTAAAAGAGAAGGAATGGTGCTAATGTTGGTGAACCTGGAGGTCATTATGCTAAGTGAAGCAATCTAGACACAGAAGGACAAGTGTTTTTACATAGTGAACACTTGATAAATACTTACTGAATCAATAAGCTACACCCACCCTTTTCCTGAAAATCTTTTCCCTTGCCAATCTACCAGAAAATCTGAGAAGTTTATCTTTAAAACGTGTCAGGGGCCAGCTACCCTTTCCTGGCTCTGACGATGTTAACCTGGCTCAAGCCACAGTCCCCTCTGGCCTGGGTTGTCGAGACAGCCTCGTTAATGGTTTTCAGACTTCTGTCACGGTCCTAATAAGGTCTATAACCATCTGAGCTACATGTTCACATTTGTGCAACGCACGGTCTTGTCACACCCTTGTTTAAAATCCCCCAGCAGCCTCCTACGCCATTCAGAACAAAGCCCTGACTTGTTACAGGGATTTGTCTCTGCCTTCTGCAAATCTGAGACCTCGGCTGTTTCACAGTGCGCTCCCTCTGGCTCGTGCTACTCCTCCTTCAACAAATACACCTTCCTGCCTCGCGGCATTTCTGCTTACTCTTTCCTCACCCACAGAGGGCCTCCCCGGAGCATCTCTGTCCAGTAGGAATGCAGCCTGAGCCTTGTAGGTAATTTTAAATCTTCTAGTACCCACGTTACAAGAAAAATTAGGGGGTAGGAGGTGCCGCTGAGTGGTAAACTGCATACTTGAGGCCCTAGTTGAACATGAAGTTCAATCTCTGGCACCAATGAATGAATGAAAATGTGGAATTAACTTTTGTTAGCTTGGTTTTTATGAGACCAGGTCTCACCCTATGGAATCCAGGCTGGCCTCGGACTCCCTGTGTAGAACAGGATTGTCTCAAACTCATGGCAATGCCACTGCCTCAGCCTCTCAAGTATGAGGAAAAATTATTTTTTAATTATCAACTTATTTGACCTAATATATCCAAACTTATTTCAGTGTAGAATAAATTTTAAAATTATTGATGAACTATGTTACATTCTTTTTATACACAATGGATTTCATAAGACCTAGCATCTTAAGTATTTATTATATGCATAGTATACTTAACATACTTAGGATAGATACGCACTGAAGTATACACATATACTTACGCTAAGAGTACTAAGCTTTTACTCACTGTGTTTTTTACATTTATAGCACTTGGCAACTCAGACACTAAATTTTTACTGCAAATACTTGATCTGAATTAAGGTTTCACCTAAATTAAGCTTTTCACAATTGAAAAGATAGAGTCTCATATCCAAGTTGTTCTAAATGAAATTTTTCTAATAATTGAAGCATTCATGTTTAAATTTAAATGAATTGTATTCCAGTACTTAGACTAAGAACAATTGGATATAAATAACTTGATTGAAATCCAGTGGAAAGAAATAGCCTCTGGGTTATGTACATGTAGCAAGTCCCCACAAGGGATGTAAACATTTATATGGCAAACACACACTAATAAAAAACAAACAACTCAATTGCCATAAAAAAAAATAAAGCTTTGGGAGTCAGATTCAAAAAAATTTACTTCCTCAGTCACACTGGTCACATTTCAAGGACTCAAGTGTCAAGTGTAACCAGTGACTATTATTTTGGGGGTTTTTTGGTTTCTCTTTAATTTTAAAGAGAGTAGTAAAAAAAGAGCAATAGCAAAATACCAACATCACAGACATAAACAAAACAAAGCAAGAACATTAAAAATGATACAGGGTTTCAAAACAAAATGATAGGAATTAACAGTGGTTGTTATTATACATATTATCTTCTTCAACCAAGTTGCTCAGATTACCAGATGTAACAATGGAAGATTGTTCAAACCGTTAAAGAGAATTAAAAAAAAATTATTAAATACATTAGAAATGAAAAAACATGTGGTATTTTCATACAATGGAGTATTACTCAGTTATTAAAAAAGATAAACTCGAGGCTTTTGTAGGTAAATGGATGCAACTAGAGACCATACTCATAAGTGAAATAAATTGGACCCACATGTGTCAACATCATATTGTCTCCCTAATGTAAGAACCTGAAAGAGTAAATAAAACCCAAAATGTACAATAGATAATATGAAAGGGAAAGAAATTGCTCAAAGGAAGGAACAACTGGGATGAGGTAAAGAAGAAAAAGAAAGCAAGAAAGAAGGAAGGCAAAATATATGTATGTATACAAAAGAGCTGGGATAATTGTACTGCTCATGTCTAGTGGCTATTGCTTTGGACAGAGCATTTCTATGATCACAAAATTTCTTTTAGATGGTCCACCTGTCAGTCTTTATAGAAAGCTGGGAGATTATACCGCTAGTAAGCAGAAACATCCCAGGATGTGAGTCTATGGTTGCCAGGTTCCAAATACTTTGTTTCCACTGCAGTATGTTTTATTTTTGCTTGCACATCCTAAAGTTTTTGATGAGGGAAGTATTTTATCAGAGGAGACAAGCTAGTCTTTTGCCCTCCCCGTGTCTTACATTTAAGCGTTTCTACAGGAAATGGCTTCAGCAAGATAATATCTTGGGAATCTGAAATTCTTGGTTTCCTTTTTTTCCTACAAAAGACACCAAGATCAGGGACCCTATCTTTTATTATGGAGAATAATCTCAGATAAAATTTTTAATCTCCATGAGCCTCAGATATACTGTCTATAGGACTGGGATAAATGACTGCTTACTCTTAATGTTATCTTACGAGGGTCAAATAAAATAAAATGTGTAGAGCCCCGGCCCCGGGTCCATTGCCAGTGTTTAGAATGTTATTTTCCTTCCTATCTTGGCTAGGCAAAAAAAAAAAAAAGGCTTTGGTGGGTTCTGTCCATGGCAATGTTTAATAATATACCTCTCTGAACTCAGCTCACCTCCTTGAAGGCATCTCGCATCTCCTGGACACCAATCATCCCAGCTGTTTCTGCAAGCAATTTGGGGGTCATCAGCTCCACGAAGTCCTCAAAGTCTACACGGCCACCCACTGAGGGCAGAAGAAATGAGATTAGTAGGACTCTATATGCTCCACCACCCATGCCCTGTCTTTGTTCTTTAAATTATTCTTTTAAAAAGGTCCCCTTATATCTCGCTGGCTAGCATCTCTTCTCCTCTTCTAAGTACTTTCTTAGAAGTACTTCTCACTCTACTCAGACAACTGAAGCTTTTGTGCCCCTCTAATCTGAACCAGGCTGGACAGGAGGACAGGGTGTGCGTGGAGGACGTAACTAATATCCATGTTGCCTTTGACAAATTTCTTAGTTTGTTCAAACCTACGGCCCCTCATCTGTAGATGCTTAAAAGAAGGACTTTGAATTAAATATGCACTTGAGTCTCTTCCAGATTTATTCAGCTGTCTTCTGGTGTCAAATGAGACTTGGTAACAAGATTCCTCAGCGAATACCAAAATCCACAGGTGTTCAAGTCCTTTTCACAAAGTGCCATGGCATTTGCATACAACCTGTGTGACTCTCCCAAATGCTTCAGATCACCTCTAGGTTGCTTGCATTATTTGTAGAATGTTAAGACAAGAAAAAAGGCATTCCCTACATACGTGTTCTGTATAGACAGTTTTTCCCCTGAAACATTTTCCATTTGCAGTTGTTTGAATCTGGAGATGTGGAATCAACAGATACACAGAGCTGACTGTACTATTATCACCTTGAACTCAACCTTGTCAACTCAGTTATCTGGCCAGAAGTAAACCCAATAGCAGTTTTATTCCAGCTTTAATCTCAAAATCAGCTTTGCTGTCCATCTAAAAATTTATCCTTTCGCCACGTTATTCGCCAACTTCGGGTCTGGTTCCAAATGTGTTCCCCACATCCAGCATAGCTCCACTCTTGCGTGCCACTGACAAACCTTAGTGGTGATGGTCATAGCCTACATTTAATAAGAATCTACTGGAGGCTACACCTTTGCCTGGTGAGCGTTTTTACCCCTTCCTTTCCTCAATATCATTGAGTAAGAAGTGGTGGTGTCCTCACCTGATCCACGAGGAAACTGAGACCCAAGAATAGGGGATAACTCCCCTTTTCAAAATGAGCACAATTACTAAATAATAGAACTGGAACTTGAACTCAGATCTGTCTCAAAAAGTCATTCCTGTGACTACTTCAAATGCTGCCTGGATGTTTTCTTCCAGACTTCTAGTTCTCCTTATCCACCTCTCTACCCCCCAAATATATTCTCAACCTCCATCCCCTTCCTAATCCTACCCTTGGCTCCCCCACCCAATCACCCCTCCCACCTCCCGGCCTCACGGTTCATGCGGACTTGCTGGCCCAGTTCAGTCAGCTCCATCTCCGTTGGCATGTAACCCATCGTTCTCATGAGATTCCCCAGATCCTTATAAGAGATAAATCCATCTCGGTCTTTGTCAAACTCCAGAAATGCTTCTCGGAGCTCTGAAAATTAAGATGGAAGGACTCTGGAGGAACTTGAGACCATCAGTGGAAAATGGTGGCATCCCTTGAAACTATCCGTGAGCCATTAACTAGAAACTCCTTCAAGGAGAAGACATTGTAAGAAGCCAAACATTTCTATGTAAAATGTGTTTGCAAGAGGAATGATGCCTGAGACTGTTAAATGAAACCACTGCAGCCCTCAAATGCTTGGGTGAAGCTCTCTCAAAGCCACCAAGAAACAAACAAGCAAACAACTTTGATTCATTCTAAAACTCCGAGTTTCTGAGACAGGTGGGGATGGATGCCTTCCTGGGGAGGTATTTAAACTGCTGGGAGAAAGAGTTCCACAACGCTGCCTTTGAGTAGGAGGAAACGGGTGTGAAAATCCCATGTGGAGGAATTTACAGAAACATGCGAGAGATGGAGGGCAGGTGAGGTGGGGGCATGGCCACTTGAGGGCGTTTGGGGAAATGTTACCTTCGATCTCATCTTGTCCCAGGGGCCTCTCCTGGAAAGGAATGCAGGGCAGAGGGAGTTTGGAGAGGGTCAAGGATCTGACACCCACCTCTCCAGATATTTAGCTGATTCTCCTGAGCTACCCCACACCTCCTCCTGTTTTTTTCCATTCTCTCTTGTCTCTTGTCTCTTTCTTCCTTCCATCTCCTGACTCCCATTCTTCAGCACTTGCTCTTTACTGCCCCATCCCCTCATTTCCCTTCTCCCATCCTTCAGTCCTAACCTCCCCCTTTCCGTCTTTTCCAGACAAATACTCCTCACATTGTGCTGCAATGGGTCTGACGTGCCAACCTTGTCTGTCCTCCAGACGATGAGAGCACGGCTCCCTATCACAGCTGACATGTTCAGAGGGCTGACTCCGTGCCAGGCTCTCTCCTTTTGTCTAAACCTCAGAACCGCTCTGTGAGGTAGGTCCAAATATCATTCCCATCTTACCCGTGAGGAAGCTGAAGAATAGAGAGGTTAGGGAAACTAGTAAAGGTCACACATATCATAAAAAGATGCCCTCCAAAGAGGGCAGAGATTAAATTACTCCCATAAGAACATACAGCAAGTCAGGCTTAGCACTGAATTTGAATTCAGGGCCCTTGATTTGTGGTTCAAATTCTTTCCACTAGAGCCACTAGAGCCCATTAACTTTCCCCTGCACTCTCTCTGTCTTTCCTTCCAGGAATTAGAAACCCTTTGTACGGGATCAGTGTTCAATGGTGTTGAGGTGGGATACTCAGCAGCAGCGTGATGAGTTCCTATTGCCCCTCAGAATGTCTAGTCATTGTTGCCCTGAGCACTCCTGGACAACCTTAAGTAGTCAGGCTTGGACACCTGGCAGGTGCCTGGGAAGCTCTACTAACCCTGGCTTAATTTACTCCTCTTGTTTTCTTTATCCCTTCGGGTTTTCCTCCCAGATTACCTTTCTTATTTTCCTTTTATCCAAGCCCTTTCGTCTCATTTTTACTTTCTTGGTGATCTTAAAATCCAACCACTAAAAGCATGCCCGTAGGAGTCAAACAGACCAGATCTTGCCACTTACTAACTGTGTGAGCTTAAGGCAAAGGACTTCATGACTCAGAGCTTTCAGTGTCCTTACTTGTAAAATGGGAATGAAAGTATCACCAACCTCATGAGTTGTTCTGAGGATTCCATGACATCAAGAGCGTAAGCCCTTTGCACAAAGTTGGGAACAGAGCGAGAATTTGAGCGCGGCAGATATTGTTAACATTATCACCACCGCGGCCGTCATCTCCAGCATCTTGTGTACGTAGAACAGAATGATGATCTCAAACACAGCCCCGTTCCAGTTTGCTCTGTTTCTCCTCCCATCTTTGTTACTGATTTCTGATTTTACCCTCACCCACTTAGCCCACTGGCCTTGTGACCCACCACGCTCCCTGAATTCTTCTACCTGCTTGGCTGCCGCTCTCCACCTGCCACGCTATTCCAGGACACCATCCAGTCCCAGCCTTTCCACTGTCCTGCCTGCCCTCGCCCTGCCTCCCTCCCTTCCCCAACACCCACTTTACCCTCTGTTTCTCAGCGATGCCTTTCCTCAAGAAGATGCAGGCTGGGCCCATGGGGAACTGCATGGAGGGTCAGGTAGAATTCACCACACTCCGCTCTCCAGATGGTCCCTCCTTCCCCTCTACCCGATCAGTCCAGCGTCCTGATCGGCTCAATCCTTTGCAACCCTTCCCGCCTCTCTGGGTCTTTCCCTCAGCTCCTGTGTCTTACAGCTGTGTGACAGCTGGGTGGGAAATCGCTATTCAGGTTGGGGAGCGATCACAGCTTTCCCCGCCTCCCCATCTGGCTGGGGTGAGACAGGCAGAGAGAGCCATTCTCAGGCTCTGAGCTGTTTTATCCCCAGGATGGAAGTGGAAACTTTTCTAGAGTAATGCATAGGAAGCACATTTTGCTGTGGGGATTAGAGCACAGAGCATCAATTCACTCAGTGTTCCTGCACACATTTTGAGTACTCACTCTCAGCCTGGCCTCTGGGCGGTGAAGATGGAGAGGATGCCGCCTCTGGCCTCAAAGAGCTTTGCCACTAAGTCAGTAATGTGTAAAGTGAGTGGGCCACGAGAATGGCCTGATGGTGGGGCTTCGAGGAGTGCTCACCTCCCCTTGTCTCCTCCGTCCTTCCTAATGCAGTGGGAAGAGCAAGGTGAGGGATGGGAGAGGGCGGGACATCACGTGTGGTGTCACCAAAGTGGTGATGAGAGTGTCCACATAGGGGAAAGGGGCCATTTCACCTGGAGAGAGAGTTCCCACAGCAGCTGGGGGTAGGGAGAGTCCCCACAGCATGGTCTAGAGGGTGCAGGTTCTGGTATGGGTTGAGTGTGCTCTGCAAGGGTTGATGCGTGGGGAGCTTGGGGCTCAGTGTGATAGGGTTGTGTTGGAACCTTCAAGAGGTGAGGCCTAAATGGAAGTCATCAGGTGCACTGTCCTGCACAGGAATTAACACTCTTCTCATGGGACCCCAGTTAGTTCCCAAGGATGTTATAAGTGGAGAAGCCTAACCCCTCTTCACACTCTGACTTCCTGTCTCACCACATCATCTCTTCCTCATGCATATTCTCCCTCCATGATGGCATCCACCTTGTAATACAGAAAAGGAGGCCCTCACCAGAGCAGCCAATGCCAATGTCATGTCCTTGAACCTGCAAAAGTTTAAGTTACATACATCTCTTCTCTTTATTCAGTGCATGGCCTCAAGTATTCTGTTATTGCAATGGAAAACAGGGTAATACAAGGGTAATATTCCAGTACACCATCCAGTCCCACCCTTTCCACTGTGTCCTTCCTCCCCTCACCCTGCCTACCTCCCTTCCCCAACACCCCACTTTACCCTCTGCAGAAGCTGAAGATAATTTCAAAGTCCCTCTCTTCAAAATACTAATTCATCTCAAAGGAAAGAGTCACTTTACAGTGGAGAAACCTGGCAGATGCTGTCTTCACCAAATGATCAAAATGAACACTGTCGGTAGTGTGGCAAAGCACTACATGTATGAGAACACAGCATTGCTTTTGCGATCTTCCTGAATCTACTGGTGAGAGGACCACAGGCAAGCCCCAGATTGAGCGATGGTTTACAAAATAATTGGCCAGTAAGCTTCCAAAAGGTCAAGGTTGTAAAGGTGAAGGAAAAATGGAGGAACCCCTGCAGTTGCAGGAGACTGAACAGGCACGAGAAGATGCAACACGCAATTGTGAACTAGATATTCCGGCCTCAACCTTTCCTGGCAACCGCTAGGAGGTGCTGTCACCCGGAGCTCTGCGTTCGTGTTCACATGGCCTTTCACCTGTGTGCGTGTCTATCTGTGTCCAAACCCATTTTCACAAGGACCCGAGTCATAGATTAGGGCCAGCCCTAATGATCTCAATCGGCCCTCCTCTGTGAAGATCTTATTTCCAGAGGTCGCATGCACAACCACTGGAGGTTACAATGCCAACATCTTTCTGGGAGACACAACTCAACTCCTTAACAGTCTTTAATTTTGGAAAGCCACTGTTTAAAAATAATGGCTACCCACAAGGAATGTCATCATTACGTGCCGCAAACCTGGACTGATGAAAATAAAAATTTAATTAGAAAATAATGACTGACATCTCTTGAACACTCAGTCTGTTCCACATGCCGTTCTTAAGGCTTCAGAGTGAACTCCTGTAAACCACTCCAGGATATAAACACCACGGACCCATCTGTTCTACAGATGGTGGAACCCAGGCAAAAGGCAGAGAAACTTGCCTGTGCACTTATAGTGATCAGGTAGCAGAAGCAAGATGTTAACCCAGCAGTGCAGCCCTCGCATTTAATGGCTGAGATACAAACAGGTGGGCTGGAAAGAAGAGGAAGCACAGAAGCTGGGGTCAATGGAGCAGATAAGGGGGCAAAGGGAGGTGTCAACTTGAAAACGATAAAAGGGAAGACACTTAGGAGTAGAGCTGGGAAAGGGCAGAAGGCAAGATGCAGCAGAATGGCAGGAAGTGAAGGAATAAAGGGAGGTTGTAAAAGGGTGTGGCGAGGTGGCGGCAGACCAAGAGACACGTGTAGTCAATCTATCAGTCAATCAGCAAGCATTTATTGAACATTTGTATACTCAGAGCTCCCTTGGCTCTGAAGAGACAGACCATGATTTGGGCCCAGGTTTCTACCTCTGCAGAGCTAAATAATAGAAAATCCAAGTGGCTTTGGTCTCAGTTGCCACACTTATGGGTGACTGGACATTAGACACGGTGACTCTGGTGGTCAGAGAGTGATACTCCGGCTGCAGGGTCTCCTGCAGGATCTGCAGGGCTCATTTCACCACCTTCAGTTCCCAGGTCTCCCTTTGTTGAGTCATGCTGTTAAAGACACACTCTAGGCAGTCACTGAAGACTGGCCAAGAGGATGGCCAAGGTGAACTCGATGCTGTGGAGACGTAACTGAAGGGAGTGCAGAATAGCAGGACCTGGTGGATACTAGGGCCCCGGTAGACCAGCAGGCCCAAACTGGAGCTCATCTTCACAAAGGGGCAGCTGAGGGTGGACTATGGGGGAAGCGGGCAGAGTGGAGCCACTTGGGGCCTGATCACTCCGGCATGGCGGCCTGTAGAAAGCGGAGTTCGCGGTTGCCACTGTTCTTTGAAGACAATGCTGCACAGTGGACAAGACTAAAAAACCTAGGGGCTGCTGCAGAGAGAGCAAGAAAGAGAGATTTATTCCTGGAGAAACCTGATTTGATGCCAAATCTAACACCTACTTGTGGCGTTCCTATAGCCCATGGTTATGGTGTAAGCGCTCAAAGATTTGCCCAATCCTATAAGTTCTAAGCACTCATGTCCAGAATTAGGCTAGGAGATAGCTCTTCAGCCTGAATTAAATGTCATGACACCTGCCAAAATTCACAAGATATGATCTCCGTATGTCTTTCCAATCATATTTCATCACACAGTTCTACCGCATGAACCCTGACTCAGCAGTAAGAGCCTTCTTCCTGGTCTGTGAATCAAGCAAAGCCATTTCTACCCCAGGCCTTTTGCACTTGTGTTCCCTTTGCATTCAGTCCCAGGCCAAAGGGTGCTGCCTCAGGATGCCTTCCCAGACTACCACCCTCTTTCCTACAAAACCCCTTTTTCACTTCCAAGGAGATTCTGTGCCTTGCTGTCTCTATATAAGGCACTAAGCACTTTCCACACTAATCACGCTCCATCCTCTCCATTCACTGGTTTGCTGTCTATGTCATGGCTCTACCCTGGAAGATAAAATTTCCAGGAGAGCAAGAGCCTGGCCTGACTTGTTTGCTGCTGCGCCTGCAGTTTCTGGGATTGTGCTGGGCAGGAAGGTATATAGTAGGCTTCTAATAAATGACTATGGAACAGGAAGGACAAGCGACAGCGGAGCTCCTGGCAGGAAACCTCTCAGGTTGAGGGATGGAGACAGTTCCTCTGCAGGATGGAGGACCGACCTGAGGCTGAAGAGGAGTCAGCCAGTGGTGTGAAGGAGTTAGATGGGTTGGGAATCTTCCCTAACCACGCAAGTGATATGGATGGAGGTCTTAAGTGTCACAGGGTTCAAGTACAGGATGAGCTCACGGCTTGGTTCACGGCATTTGGTGGCCAGATCTAGCCACTCATTCCCCTGCTCTTCGTGAAGTCCATGATTGGGTTACACCCAAGAGATAAGCCTGGGCTCCTGTTCCGAGCTGCATTTCTTCTCCCCCAGCAGCTCCCAAAGTCATGCGCTGAAGTCCTAACGTCCAGAACCTCTGAATGCGACCTTATTGGACACTTTGGTTCTGGCCCCTTGAGATTCGTTTCTGACTTCTCATTTCCACAACTGTACCACAATAAATCTGTGGTTTATAAAGACATTAAACTGGCAGCCATTTGTTACAGCAGCCACAGGACACCGACGCATCTGGCCACGCAGCCTCCGCCTCTTTCTCACACTCTTCTCCAGGCTCCCTCCCGCCTCAGACTCCACCCTGGAGCCCCCCCGGGGATCCAGCCTGTCTCCCTGGGCAGAAAGTGTCACGGTTGTCCCTTCACTTCACTCAAGCTGCGATGTGACCCTCTCAGGACATCCACCCTGGACACCTGATCTCAGATAATATGACCTGGCTTTCTCTGCCAACCCGGCATTATGGGTACAGTTGTGTCTCGCAAGGTCCTGCGGGGAAATCCTAACCCCCAGTATCTCAGACAGTGACATTATTGGAAACAGGGTGTTTAGAGAGGCAATTTAGTAACACGAGGTAATCGGGGCGGGCCCTGACCTTATCTGACTGGTATCTTATAAGAAAGGGACATTTTGCCTGCGCATGCAAGGAGAACAATGTAAAAAGACGCAGGGGCAAGATGGCTCTGGGAAGCCAAGGAGAGAGGTCTGAACCAGACCTTTCTGTCTTGGTCCTCACAAGGACCCAGCTCTGCCCACACCACAGCTCGGATTTATAGCCTCCCAAACTGAGAGACAGTACACTCCTGCGTCTCAAGCTTTCTTGCCTGAGGGACTTGGTTACCACAGCTTCAGCAAATCAGCCTACGCGGCCCTGTACTTCTTCAGAGGACGGTTCACTCCTCCGCATTGCTCACTACCTTTCTCCACTAGGGAGGCGCAAGCTGAAATGGGAAGAAACTGCGTTTCTCTGGGGTGACGCCTGCAGCTCTGGCTTCCCACACACCTGACCATGGTCTTTATCTCGCTGAGGATCTTCTCCTCATTTCTCCTGACGTTCTCCTTGGACAGTTCCAGGAGCTGGGTCACCATGTCTAGGGTGTAGCTGTCAGCCATCTTAATGGTGCCATACATTTCATTCCATTTCTGAATGTCATCTGAAGTAGAATCAGATAAAGAATCAATGTACCACGAGTTTGGATAATGAGTTCCACTGATTTTGTCCAGCCCGAGGGCTGCAAACTATCCCTGCGAACAAAATCCAGCTAGCCTGCTATTCGGGTTTTTAAATCTAAATTTTTATTAGTACGTGTCTGCATATATAATGACTACATTTATTGTGGGGAGGCACATGTCCATAACACAACTTAATTCTTTTTTGTTTCCTATCTACCCCACCCCACCCCCACTCCTTCCATCCCGCTGAGCCCTTCCCATTTGCAAAAGCTCTATCTCCATTTTTTTCCAATTCTTTTTCTAACCCTTTTCCCTTCCCTCCCTCGCTTGTTCCCCCACCTCTTGTTCCCTTTCCCATCTGAAAAATATCTCCCTATTTCCTATTATTTATTGCCCTTTGTTTATATTTTTGGTTTCTCACATAAGAGAAACCGTGCAACATTTAAGCTTGTGTGTCTGATCCGTTTCACTTAATATTATGATCTCAAGGTATATCTATTTACCTATGAATATAAGTAAAGGTTTATGGTACATTACGTTATAAATGTCCATATGTTTTATTATCTATACCCACTGTCTACATAATGTTCCATGTGGGGAGAGAATCTGAGTTTTTTTCTACACTATCCTGCATTGCCTGAAACAATGGTTGAGGCAGGACAGGTGACCAATGAATGTTTGTTAAATGAAGGAAGAAGACAGACACCTTTGAACTCCCAATAGGACTCACTCGGGAAGCATAGCAGAGAAGACCAGAGGCCCTGAGAGTCCATAGCCCCACAGGACCATTGATCCTGGATGCTGGACCTTTTAAGCAGCTGTTTACCTGTGACCAGAGGATGGAGGCAGGAAGGGTTGGATATTCAGCGAGGACAAGATTGCCCCACTGAGAGGAAGCACCATCCAAGACTGAGTCAGAAAGCACAGAGTGGTCAGGACAAAGGTTCCTGCTCACATACTCTTGACCTTCAGATGTTCAAGGGTAGACCAGATGTCCCTTAGCCGTAGCTCAGCCCTGTCCAGCATGGCCCAGTGGCTCCTCATCCGGCTTCTTCTCATGCACCTACCTCCACAGCTGTCTTTGTTGAACAGTGGGAAATGCATCACGACAGGTCCGTTTTCCCCTTTCAGGATGTAGCAGCTGTCAGGAGGGGTTCTTGCCCACTCCTCCAGCATAGCCTCTTCCACTGGGGGAAAGGGGATCTTGTGGTCCTCGCAGTACTTAGCAGTGGACCTGATGGTCTAAGAAGAGGGCAAGAGAGACTTGTCTCCAGGACTGTCCAGAAGGTGCTTGGGGTCTGGAGACCCGCCAGAACCTCAGCAAAGACCCCAGACACAGTGTAGTAGGAGCTGGCTTAGACACAGGTGAAGCCTTCTATGCAAGAAAGCTCCCCCAGTTCCTACCCCACCTGAGAGACAAGGTCCGTGGTGTCTACAAACTTGAAAGTAACCCTAAGGACTGGGGACTGGGAAACTCAGGTGAGGAAAAGAGTGCTCAGAGAAGGGTTTGAATATCAGCTACATAGGTATCTTCAAATGATCTGGTTGCATTTGAACTAAGTGTGTCAGTTTGCTGTTACTACAACACAATGCCTGGGATAATCAACTTACAAAGAAGAAAAGTTAGATGGGAATGGTGGTGCACACCTGTAATTCCAGCATTCTGGAATGCTGAGGCAGGATTGTGAGTTCAAGCATAGCCTGGGCAATTTAGCAACTTTTTGAGACCCTGTCTCAAAAAAATAAAAAATAAAAAAAAGCAAAAATAAAATGGGTTGCAGGTGTAACTCATTGTGAAGACCCTGGTATCAATCCCCAGGGGCTGAAAAGAGGAAAGGTTTATTCTGGCTCATGGTGTTGGTGGTTCTGGTCCATAATCGATTGTGTCCACTGCCTTGGGCCTGTGCTAAGGCAGCTTATCACGGCAGGAGTGTGAGGCAAAGCAAAACATGAGCCAAGGAGCAAAAAGAAAAAGAAGAGGTCAGGGTTCCACAACCTTCTTCAATGGCACCTCCCTAGTGACCTGAGGAACTCTCACTAGCTTCTCAAAGGTTCCACTGCCTCTCAGTAGCACCACACTGGAGACCGAGGGTCTAACACATGAGCCTCTGTGGAACACTCAAACTCCAAACTATAGCAGTAAGCAAAAAGAAAAAGGCAAAACCAATTTTTTTTTTTTTTTTTTTTGGTACCGGGAATCAAACTCAGGATCTTGTGCTTGCTAGGCAGGCGCTGTGCTGCTGAGCTACAACCCCGACTGCAAAACCACTTTTTAAAATAAATTTTAGAAAAATAAATAAATGAATAAATAAAATAAAATAAATTTTAGTTAAATGTCAACAGTATGAGTAACCAACATAAAATAATCAGGTCTAAAAAATAAAATAAAATGAAATGATCAGGTCTTTTATATTCATTTCCTACACTCAGCTTTTAAAATCTAAAGCATTCAAACTCAGGGCACATCTCATTGTGCACTGGGTATATTTCAAGTGCTCAGATGTCACATGCGGCCTGTGTATCTATCAGAAAACACAGCTGTGTGTAGTCTTCTCTGATTGAAAGTTTAATAAATGCTGTTGTGTTTGTTATCACTTTTTTTTGTACTGGGAATCAAACTCAGGACCTTGTGCTTGCCAGGCAGGTGCTTGTGCCACTGGGCTATATCCCCGGCCTATATCATCACCTTTCTAAGTACCATTATTCTTACTCTACACCAGCTATGGACCAGACCCTGTGAAGAGCATCAGTGGACTTTGATGAGGCAGAGGATATTATACCCATTATGAAGGTGAGAAAACTGAGTCTTAGAGGTTGAGACTTGCTCAGGGTTACATAACAAGGATTCACTAGAGCAACTCCTAAAATACTGATCTTTCCACCTTTATCATATTCTTTGGAAATCTTTCAGTCAGCACCAATGGTAGAATCAGAAAGCCTGAATGTTTCAGGGCCAAAGACACAGAAAGGAGTGCACATGGATTCTGACCAATGGCAACAGAGATAAAAGTGGATGTCTCTGACTCATACTACAGAAATGTCCACTAATATATATGTTAATGTAACTGTTCATTATACTGTGCATAAATCTAAGAGATTTGTTTTGTCATGATTATTTCATATATACACTATTATATCATGGTATGGATTGTGAAATAAATATTTTTATATTATATATTTTGTTTTTCATATTATTATCCTTTTTTGAGATAAGGTCTTGCTATGTAGTCCAGTCTAACCTCAAACTTGCAGCAGTCCTCCTGCCTCAGCCTCCTGAGTGCTGGGATTACAGGCGTGCGCCACCACGCCTGGCAGTACATCTTTGCGGTACATAATGTGTACGTTCCTTGCATGGAGTTGGTGCATGCCCATAACACATTTTAATTCCTTTTTCATCCCTTTTCCCTTCCTCCTTCCAGCTCTTCATCCCCTTCCCATTTGAGAAAGCTCTCTCTACTTCTTATTGTCTCTTATTTTGCTCTGTATTTATATTTTGGATTTCTCATATAAGAGAAACCCTGTGATGGTGTTTAAGCTTGTGTGTCTGACTTGCGTCATGCATATCAGTGTAGTCTCAAGGTGCACCCATTTTCCTATAGCTGGCTCTAGTTTACCTTTCTTCATGGCACAGTATCACTCTGTTGTGTGTGAATTCCACATTTTCTGTATCCATTCGTCTGTTGGTGGACATACAGGCTGCTTCCAAGATTTAGCTATTACGAATTGTGCCTCTATAAACATGGGTGTGCATATGTCAGTGTAACGTGAGGTACTTAACTCTTTGGGGAGGATACCTAGAAGGGGAAGAGGTGGGTCGAATGGAATTTCTATTTTTAGCTTTTTGATGGATCTCCATATTGACTTCCATAGTGGTTGTACTAGTTTACATTCCTACCAACAATATAGAAGCGTTCCTGTTTATATTTTTAAAGACAATATTCATAAACCCCATGTTGAGCAGCAGGCCTTCCGCTAAGCACTTTGTAAGCACGAACAAATGCTAACTGAATGTGCTTAACAGCTCCGAGGGGAGCTGTTATGAACTGGATTTTACACTTGAGGCCACTGAAGTGCACCCAAGTAAAACAGATTGCTGGTAAGTGGCAGGGATGCTATGAAACCAGGTACAACTGATCAGAGCTACTGAGAAAAAATAGCATTGCTTCCTGAAGGTGCAATACGTGCTAGTTACAAATGAGATCATGCTTTCTCTCACCCAGCAAACATTTACTGAGGGCTGCGTTGACCTCAGAAGGCTAAGAAGACTAGGAAGAGGCAGCCTCGTGCTCGGAGGTGGGCACAGGGAGGGGACACACAGGCGAGGAGCTAACCTGTTGCACCTAAACTGTTATGGTGAGGAAGTAGCACCCAGTGGGTGGCAGAACCACCCGTGATGAAGAGGAGCCAGGGAAGCTCTGAACTGCATTTAGCAGGTCGGAGGCTCTTTGGATGTTACCAGATCATGATCACGTGCTTTAGCTGTGAAGGATGAGCAGATTTGCTTTACGGACCCACCAGCCACACTTCCCACCACCCACTTCCCTCCTGGGGCCTTAACTCCTTCCCAGAGAGCTCCACCTCCACCCAGGAGCACCACCAACGCCCTGCTCACTTACCTCGAAAGGATCCCCGGAACTAAAGTCAAAGGAGAGGATGAGCTGGACCTTCCGTGCGGGGAGCAGAACGAGCGGGTAGGGAGTGTTGATGGCAAAACCAGCATCCATCAGGTGGAGGAGTTCCCGGTTGCTCATTTCCTGTTCTTTGATGTCACCTGCAGTGCCCAAGAAGAGACCCACTGATTCTCCACCTGACAGTCTCCTCTAAGGCCAGAAGATGGATATATGAAAGGTGCTGTGCACAACCTGAGCTGCAGAGCCTGGCCTGCACAAAGCACGCAAAGGGAAGCAAGTGAAGGCGGATGTTGAGCCAGGGTTCACCTCTGCTACGGGTTGGACGTGGTTTGAGTGTGTCCCGTGTGGTGGTATTGAGGTGGCAGAATCCTTAACAGGTGGGGCCTAGGAGGAGGTCAACGAGGCACTGCCTTGGAAGGGATTATTGCTGCTCTCATGGACTGGATAGAGGAGTTGTTAAAAGGGCAAGTTGTTATAAAATTGGCCCCTTCTGTATGTGGTCATTTCCCTTTCTGTGGTCATTTGCCTCTCTCTGCCATGTTATGACGCAGCCAAGAAGGCCTTCACCAGAGCTGAATGGACAGGGCTACCTGAGACTTTCAGTCTCTCAAACTCTGTGTTAAACAAGCCATTTTGTTATAGCAACAGAAAGTGCACTAATACAATTTACAAGCCATGCATGAGGAGGAGCACATTTTAGAACACCCTATCCTGAGGGATGCACCTTTTCCTGACTTAAACAAACACCCCAAGGCCCCAAACACAAAGCCGTCCACTGCAGTCTTGTCAGCAAAGAGTGGGGGCCTTTTCAATGTGCAGGAACTGGCACAGCCTGGGGACAGAGCATTCATCAGCCAGGAGAGCAGCAGCTTAGGAATGTTATAAAGCGGTCTTAGAGAGAGCGCGTGGAGACCAAAGCCAGTTCTACCCAGACACTGGGGGGTAACTCACAAAATGACAATCCACTCGAGCCACATCCTAGGACTGACCAATGAGAAAGTAGAATTTTTGCCTCTTTTTAGAGGCAGAGAAAACCATCGACTTTCACAATGCCTTGAACTGTGACTCACCAGCCAGAGGACAGCTCCTCTATTCAGAACCATGGGTGCCTTCCACCCCACTCTACAGCCCTGGGAGGGATGAGGTAAGATAATTTCAAGCCCCTTGTTTCCACTACCTCACCCCACCCCACTTGGGAAGATGGGAGAGGAGCTTTGTCACCTACCGTGTCCATACAGGAAGTTGTAAATGGTCCCCCATTCCCACTTGCCAAAGCACACTACAGTTTTGATCAGAACGTTACAAATGTCGAAAAACTCTAGAGGGAGAAATGGAGAGGGAAAGGTGAGTGTAATGGGATGAACTGTGCCCTGTCCCCCAAAATTTTATGGAAGCCCTGACCAGCAGTGTGACTGTATGTGGGCACTTAGGGAAGACAATTAAAGACAAATGAGGCCGCAAGGGGAGGCCCTCATCCTGCAGGCCTCGTGTCCTATTGACGAGGAACAGACACCAGGGGTGGGTATGCACAGAGGAAAGGCCATATGAGGAAGGTAACAAGGAGGCCGTCTATCTGCAGACCCAGGCGAGAGGCATCAGGAGAAGCCAGGCCTGCTAGGACCTTGGTCTCGGACTGCAGCCTTCAGAGCAGAGATCCACACATCTGTTGTGAGGGCCGCCCACTCCGTGGACCTTTGTTACGCCGCCTAGGCAGAATGATATAGTGGATGGCCAGTCTGGGAATGGCCAGTCTGTGCTTCTTTCTATCAGCTGAAGGTCTTAAGAGCAAAAAAATTGCAGGTTCCAGAGAAGAGGAATTCTGCCTCAAGCCTGCAGCTCCAGGGTACGGCCCGCCTCATGCAGTTGGAACTTGCCAATCCCTGCACTCTCTTGAGCCAAATTCTTAAAATAAATATAGATGGATGGAGAGATAGAGATACAGATATATAGATAGATGATAGATAAAGAGATAGGGATAAAGTTATAGACAGATACACATAAACAGATATAGATATCATGGGGGTTGGTTCCAGGACCCCCACCCCCAAGCACACCAAAATCCAGTGTTGCTCAAGTCCCTTGTGTAACATGGCACAGTATTCGCATACAGCCCATACATCCTCCCATGTACTTTAAATGATCTTTAGATGCCCCATGATACGGTGTGAGGAGTTGTCATACTATATCATTTAGGAAATGTGACAAGAGCATGTGTGCACATGTTGAATACAGACACATGTGCTTAAATAGTTTTGATCCACAATTGGTTGGATATGCAAATGCAGAACTTCTGTATACGTGGGGCTGACTGTATGGATATAGATAAACCCGAATGGTTCTTTGAAGAGCGCTGACCAACACATCTGGCAGACAATAGTCACTTCACACGTATTCTCTGCTACAGTATTTTAGCAATCCACACATCCTTGTACCTCTTTGCATGGATCTTCAGTATTTAATGACACCTCACTTTACATTTCAGCCTGACCTAATGGAGATGCCCGTGGCTAAGTAAAGTGGGCAGAGCCCAGGGCAGAAGTTGGCAGCAGCACACGCCTAGACAGCCAGATTCTTCCTGCGAGAAGAGAGTGGCACCCTTCCTTGCTTCCCGGGCTTGACTCAGAACACTTTATAAATATTCTCTCCTTTGAAATCAACAAAACATCTTCAGAGCTGTGAATCCAGAACCAAGACAGGTGACAAAATCCTGGCATGTAACATCAAGGTTTGATCTGACTAACATACACAATGCTTACCCACACAAGTAAAGTTATGCACATCATTTTATAACACAGTACATTAAGGATATGTGCTCCTCTTTGCGCACAAAGTGAAGTCATTATGGAAAAAGTATATAGGAGGCTGAGCGTGGTAGCACACATTTGTAATCTTAGCCTTTGGAAGGCTGAGGCAGGAGGATCACCAGGAGTTCAAGGCCAACCTGAGCTACACAGTGAATACAAGGGCAGCCTAAATGACACAGTGAGACCCTGGTTGAAAAAAAAAAACAAATAAAAAAGCAGATTGGAGTATGGTAATCACTATCTCTTTCCATGGACCACACTCAAGGAGGGTAAATGGGCATATCTCATTTCTGAGACAGAGCCAGGAGAAAACGTTGGCTTTCCAAGGTCTTCACTTGGGCAGGCTCACTGTCCTTCTTCAGCTGCCTCTCACCCATCACCTGCTTAAGGACATTTTCCTCTTTAACCCCATCTAATGGGAACCTGGACAAGAGCTACCCAAAGACATCAAGGGAACGGCAGCCTTGCCGTTGAGACTGTAGACCAGGGAAACAAGCAGACTGATTTCATTCAGAAAGATAGTGCAAGGATTTTTGTTAAGATGGAAAAAGAGGATGGCAACAAAGGAAAAGGCTGAAGATGGTGCCATTTGCTGTCCTTTCCTTTCTTTCCTTGGTGAGCTTAAGAGTCACTGGTAAGAAGGGTACTGGGGGTGTGCCTGGATGCTGGGTGAGTCCTGGAAGCAGTCAGCCTTTGGTGGCTCATGGGGGAAGATCGAGGGCTTGGTGGTGTGCGGTGGGGCAGGCTGCCGCGGGGTCATTTCAGACCTCAGTGAGCAGTTTTGTCTCTGCTGTGGCTCATTCATACCACGTCACTCAGAATTTCCTACCAGGAACCTGTTCTCTCCTCCCCCTCCGCCTGGAATTTTGCCCCATCAGGGGTGGTTGTTTGATGCTTTCTAGGCATCAGGGATGGCTTAGTCTACCTTCCATCTCTCCCACGAGACTGTGAGACTGCCAGGGCAGACAAGTGGTCGTCCATTCCCCTCTGTAAGCCCTGGGCCTGTAATGCACTAACAAATCAGGACATCCTTGGTGGAAGAATGGAGCTTGGGACATCTGGTCAACCCCTCCAGCCTCCCCTTGTAGGACAGCCTAGGGAGGAGGACAAGTGAGAAGAGGAAGCCGGTGGATGGAGTTGGCACTTACCGGAGACTGGATTTTCTAAAAAGAACTTGGAAGTTGGAAGACTCAGACCTGGGAGCTTGGAGAGTGAGTGACTCAGACCTGAATCCTTTTCTTGTTCCATGAAGCCTTGTATCAGTTGTTGCAGTTGCTTCCCCTGCTCCCCCGGGGAGATCTTGCTCCAGTTCTGCACCGTCGCAGGCAGCCATCTGTGTGCAGTCCCACCAACTTCCTCTACCCCAAGAAACCCAGGCGGTTGCCCATTCAGACTGGGTCCGTGCACTGCACCTGCTAAGGGCCATCACCCGCCTCCCGCATCGCTTCTCCCACAGCGCCCCAGCAGCTCCTCCTGCCACTGTGGGCTCTGCCCCAGCAGCCCTCTCTCCCCTCACCTGCCGGTGACCTCAACATTGCCTTGCTTTCTCCTACTTTCCCACCTCCTATTTCCCCCTCCTTTGTCTGTTCTTCTGCCTCTCCTCCTCCTTTCCGTGCTGGCATTCAGGGTTTGGTTCTAAGCCCTCTCCGCCTCCACTCTTACCCGCATCCACTAATTAGGCGATGTTCAGCCCTCTCTTGCTCACCCAGATGTCAATCCTGTGCACGTTTAGTGAGCACTTAGCACATGCCAGGTGCACCTCTAAGCACGTTACAGGAATTCTGTCTTTCAACCTTCACTACATTAGGAGGAATGTAGGATCACCTCCATTACACACAACAGAAACGTGAAGGCACAAAGAGGTTACATCACTTGCCGAGGTCACACAGCTAGGGAGGGGTGGGGCTGAGATGCAACCCCATGCTCTTCCCCACTACTTTCCCTTTTATGGTTGTCCTACAGCAACCAGCAACCCGGGGGTCTAATCCTGTCCTTCATATGTTCAGCTCATGCCATGCCCTAAAGCCAATACAGATTAGTGAGCACTTGACCTTAGTCAAAAGGCCAAGAAGAAATTCAGATTAGTTAGCAAAGGGAGATTTCACTGGCTTTTACTGATTGTGGATGTTTTGGCTTTGAGCCATTATGGGATCATTGTTATATACACTGGAGCAAGACTGCTTGGTTGGGTCTGGGTGCCAGCACTGCTGTTCCTAAGCTGTGTCACCTTGGATGTGTTACTTGATCTCTCCCTCAGTTTCACCACTTTAAAACTATGGATTCCAGGATTGCCTGCTTCCAGGGCTGATGCAAAGACCAAATTCAGGGATGTGTAAATGGCCTGTGGAACACAGCCTGGCATAATAGTAAGATGCTCATGAGCATTCCCACCATCTAGGGTCCCTCCTTCTAGAATGGTGGCAGTTGGCTGGAGCTGGAGTGTTTGTGAGCAGTTTCTTGTGCACAAACCTCCCCTTCCAGCCTCCAGTTTTTGCTGTAGGGCCTGGAGCTTCTGCAGGACGCTGGGGGAATTTGGATCTTCTATAAAAGTCATCACCAAGTCCAGAAGCTCTTCCTCAGTGGTCACTGCTCAGAGACAAAAGATACCCATGGGAGTGCGTGGATACCATCACTGCCTTCCCCACCGAGTCCCCTCGTGGTTCTCTTACCAATGTTGTTCATAAAACGAGCAACTTCTGGGCTTTCACCATCAAATGTCATACCTGCAATTCATAGAGTAGCTTCAATGTGTGAGGAACGGCTGAGTGACAGCCCTCCTGGGCACACCTTAACTAGTGACTGGGTCTTGGAAGTCCAATCCCTTGCTCCAAGTGAGGCAGAGTGTAAGGGCCAGACCTATGTCCCAGAGCCTCCTCAGGACCAGGCTGGAACCCTACCCAGCCATGCTTCCTTCCAGTTTGCTTCTGAAGAGACCAACCTGAAAAGGTGAGCAACCCCGCATCCCACCCCATCCCCAAGCTGGCGTCACCACTAAGATCTGAGTGGCTGCTCCACCAGCCCAGGGTCAGCAGGGTTTCCAGTAGGAGTCTTGCGCTCTGCTCAACACATCTCAGATCCCGCCCTGAATTTGGGTTTCACTAATCGTGCAGCCACAAACACATTTACTTCATACCGCAGATCCTCGGTTTCCTCATCTGTTAAAACTTCTTATGACCAGCCTTTATAGCCCTAGTCTCCATCAGCACAATGTACAAACAAGCCAAGTGTCCATCAACAGATGAATGAAGAAGTAGAGTGCAGCACAGCCACGCCGTGGAACACCATTCGGCTATCAGAAGGAATGACATTTCCACACGCACCATTGCAAGGATAGACTCTGAAGACGTTACACTTAGTGAAATCGGTCAGACACAGAAGGACCAATATTATGTGGTTCCACTTATAGGATGTCCTGTTCCACTTGGACTGCTTTAGGAGACTTATTTCTCACCGTCCTGGAGGCTGGGAGGTTCTAGTCAACATGTCTGCAGACCTGATGCCTGGGGAGGGTGTGCTCTGCAGTTCATGTGGTACCAGCCTGCATTGTCCTCACACAGCAGAGGGACCAGCTAGCTGTCTGGGGCTTCCTTTACAAGGGCTCTAATCCTATCATGAGGCTCCACTTTCGGGGCTAAATTACCCCCCAGAGACCCCAGTGCTTTGTATCACTGCCCAAGGGATTCAGATTTCCACATACAAATTTTGAGGAGACATAAGCATTTAGTCCGTTGCATAAGAGGCACTTCGAAGAAGCAAATTCACAGAGACAGAAAGCAGCATAGAGGCGTCAGCGAGGGACTGGGGAAAGGGGAAGTTGCTGTTTAATGGATCCCACGCTTGAATTTAGGGGTGATGAACACATTTGCGGTATAGATAATGGTGAGGGGTTGTGAATAGACTGTGAACGACATTGTGAATAGATTTAATGTCACTGGATTGGACATTTCTGAAGAGCTAACATGACCATTATTGTGATGTGTATTTCTTACCATACACATGAACTGTTCCTCATGAGTGAAGGGTGAGAGTGACATGGGGGTTTCTGAGCAAAAAGGAGTTTCATGCAGATGGCGTGGACCCTGAGGTACGGGAGCAGATGAAGGAGGGCGGGTGTCCGGGCAAACTGAGTAGGCGGAGGGGAAGGAAGGGTTGGAATGCTTGTGTTACCCCAAAACCCATGAATGGAAATCCTAACTTCCAGTGGGGTGCATTAAAAAGTGGAGGCTTTGGGTGGCGCTTATGTCATGGGGTTGGAGCCCACATAAAAGGGATGAATGTCCTTAAAAGGGAACTGCAGGGAGCTCTCTGATCGTCCTGGCTTGTAAGGCTATAAGGAGCTGGCAGTCTGTCCTGGGAAGAAGGTTCTGCCCAGAATCTGCCTCTACCAGAGCCCAGATCCTACACTTCCAGCCTCCAGAACCGAAATATAAATTTCTGCGGTTTATAAGTCACGCAAGCTATAGGCTGTCAGGGTAGCAGGCTCACTGAGGCGGGGCCCTGACTGCTGGCCTGAGAGGGCGCAGCCCTGCTCTGTGCTCACTAAGTGTGCTTCTTTCTATGCACACAGGGTGACGTTTGCCAGCTTCCCCTGGGGACAGTGGGGGCCCTGTTCTGATTCTGGCCAACAGGAAGTGACTGGAAGTGACACATGTTACCTCCAGGCCTGGCCACAAAAGCCCTTCTTGACCCTCCAGCTCTCTTATGGAACAAACACAGAGACCCTGTGTCAATGAGGAGTAGAACAAGATACACGCAACTCGGTCCCTGAGTTCATACCTGGAAGAGAGTGGCTCAGATCGGTCATCTAACCCATATTGCTTTTTTGCATGAACCAAGCATGCATTCTTGCATCTTAAGTCATAGTCTTGAGAAATACTTTTCTTCGAGATTTTCTAATTGTTTCGAGCTGTGTCCACTTTCTATGTCTGACATCACTTGGATCCCAGATACACCCAAGATACGCGGATGACTCGGCACATGGGTGCTAAGCACACAGAGCATTGGTTCAGACCCCACTTCTGCCACCTCCTGGCTGGAGGGCCTCGGACACATCACTTAAACTATGTGCCCTTGATTTCTACCTTAGTCTGTTCGGGCTGTTGTAACAGGCCAGGTAATTTATGAAGAAAAGACACGCATTTCTCTCACAGTTTGGAGGTAAGTGCAACATCAAGGTGCTGGCATCTTGTAAGCGCTTTCTGCTGCATCATCCCAAGGGGGAGGTAAAAAGGAGAAAGGCAGGAGAGGGTGAGAGCAAGCCAGCAAGAGCGAGGTGGGCCCACTCTTACAACAAACCCACGCTTGCCATACTTAACCCACCTCTGTGATAGCAATGACATAAACCACTTGTGAGCGAAGAGCCTGGGGACGTCAGCACCCCATTAGGCCTCGCCTCCCAACACGGTTGCACCGGGGACTGAGGTTCCAACCCATGGCCTCTGGGGGACGCATTCCCAGCCACTCCCACCCGAGCAGTGGAGGCAGTGCGAGCACTTCCTTGGATGGTGCCGAGCACAGGTGCTCATCGCAGGTGACGTTCCTCAGCCAGTGGCCACCCTGAGTTACTGGGAGCGACCCCCAGCAGGGTGGCGTGCTTACCTCTCAGGTGAGAATGTTTGATATTCAATTTTTCTTTTAGGCTCGTTAACTGATCTGCAAGAAAGCAAAGTCCGGGCCAATGTTTCTCTGTATAACACAAGCACTAGCTCTGGAGTCGAGTACCTTTAAGGCGAAATACAGGCAATCAAAAGCATCTACTTTTCAGAGTTATTACAATGCTTATGGAACAGGGCAGATAATGACTACCACTTCTTAGTGCTTTTATCCATAAGCTGTAGAGGAATTCACTCAATGAATTTCCCTAGCTACTACAATTGTGACCCCATGTTACAGATGCAGAAACTGAGGCACAGAGAGGTGAAGTAACTTCCCAGGGGTGCTAGAACAACACTCCTCCCATGGGGCCTACACTCTGGCCACTCTGTAGTTATACTGGCTGCCCCAGTAAAGGTTTAAGAGATGATGACAAATTCAGAAAATGTGATTGCTAAACAATGACATACAGATCGCTCTTCTGCCCTGCATAGGAACAATATGGTGAACTTCCTGAACAAAATTATCTATAAACTTTAGCCCTTCTGTTCTCCATATACTCACCCAAAATAAAACGTTTAATTTCTTCAAGGCTAGCCAGAGCACTTCCCCATAATCCTGCAGAGAAAATGGAAATAAAAGTAAAATTCTATGATGTGGCAGGCATGGTTGGTTAAACAAAGCACCCAGTGGCTTGAATAAGGTGCTGTTTGCATCTTCACTGGAGAGGAAGATCCTTCCTGAGTTCAGTAGATATTCATGAGACAATCATGGAGAACCAAGCACTCTTCTGGAAGGCAGCAGTGCACAAAGCAGACAAGGTCCCTGTCCTTGTGACTGTTCTCTTCCACGGAGGGAGCTGGCTCACTGTTGTGGATGAAGTCATCTCAAGCACAATGCTTATCACCACTTCTCCCAGTGTCTCCCAGCCTCCCTTGCAGCTAGGTGGAGGTCAAGCTCGGTCAAGAATACAGTGGGAATTTCTGGAAAGTGCCTACTGTCTTACTAAAAAGGGGCACACTGATCTGATGCAACAGCCGTGCTCTGATGGAGAGGAGTTTAGCACAGAGGTGAGCATGAATATGCTCAGGATAAAGGAGCAGCAATGCGGAATACACTGAGCCTTTATGCTGAATGTGGCTCAGCTAATGTAACAAGACCTTGTCTCAAAAAAAGAGTAGGAACAAAGAACCTGAGGAGCAAACTGAAAAACTAACAATCCTGGTGACACGTGACAGCAGCTCAGAATTGGCAGTGGATATGGATGGACTAAGGAACCACGGAGACGGGATGAAGAGGAGTGACAGCCAGAGTGGATGTAGCATGTAAGGGAAACTGGAAGATCAGAGGTGACCATCCAAGGACCTGGCTCTGGTGACTATGTAGATGGAGAGCCTACTTCCAGGGCAGGAGAATGAAGTAGGAAGACAAGGATCTTCCTGCTATTTCCACCTGGGCACTGCTACATGGGCCACACAGTGCATCTCAGAATTATTTGCTGAATAACTGGTATCCATCTATCCTTGAGTTCCTACCACTGCGGGGGTCTGTGCTTTTGGTTTGTTTGCTTTTTGTTCTTCTTGCTGTTTTTTGGGTGTGTGTGTAAGTTATATCTACATCTGAATCTGTTTGTTGGAAGCTGTGGCCCTGGGTTTGAGTCTTCTAAGAAACCATCTCTCCCAGGCCATTCAATAAGATACCAGGTGTCTGTCATATTAAGAAGCCCCGAGAGAAACTGATGACTCCAAAGGAAGAGCACATCTCCGAGTACACCTGCAGATATGCAGGAGGTGGATGGAGCCCGACCCTTAGGAGGGGCATGCTTGCATCTCCATGTCCCACCCCACTGAATCCCATCTGTCTGACCCCATACTACCTTTCAGGAAGGACAGGTCTCGCTCAGGCTCAGAGTTGACCAGGCTTCCCTTCTGGAATTTGCTTCCAAAGTGGTTGACAGGAATGTAGGCCCCAAGTGTAGGGTAGCCGGCATGGTGAGGGGTAAATTCAAACCAAGTGTCTGGGAAGGGAATACAAAGAAAAGGGTGAGTCAGCAGCATACAGCCTCCAAAGCAGCAGGTCCTGAGGGGGAGATCTATGGCCAGGTGCGGTGGTGCACCCCTATAATCCCAGCACTCAGGAGGCTGAGGCAGGAGGATCGCCATGAATTCAAAGCCAGCCTGGGCTACATAAGAGAGTTCAAGGCCAGGCTGCACTACATAAAAGAACTCTGTCTCAGAAAAACAAACAAAAAAAGAATCTATGAAATGAGAAATGACAACCAAGACACTGTCACACTGGAGACAGACTGTGTGTTCTCAGAAACAACGTGGGGATTTCATCCCATAGTTTTGAGAATCATTACTCAGCTACAAGCAGTACTACCTCCAAAACATTATGCTGCCAATACTTCTCCGAACTTGAGCTCTCATTCTGTCCTTCCCTTTCATCTTACTGTAGACACAACTTCCAGGGTGTGGCGTGCAGAACAGTCCAGACACAAAACAGCACAGAACGCTCTCTGCTGGTGCAGGGGAGTCACAGGAATATTTCAAGGAAGGAAATCCATTTTCAGATTTTTGTTCTGGAAACTTCCCTCAGACAGCCACGGAAAGAGGTGATCACTTGGCATAGGAAGGTTAATGGGGAACTAATTACAAGAATCCTCGAAGCCGGGCATGATGGCACATGCCTGTAATCCCAGTGCTCTGGGAGATTGAGGCAGAAGGATTGCAAGGTCAAGCCCAGGCTGGGGGACATGGAGAGACCTTGTCTCAAAAAATAAAAGGGCTGGGAAGTGTCTCAGTGCAAAGGCCCTGCATGCACATGCGTACATATGCCCGCGCGGACGCACGCACACACACACACATACACACACACACACACACACATGAATGCTCCAAAGAGACTGTGATATCCACTCCAGGTTGAACCTGGCTTACAGGATCACAGATTACAATGAGGAGGGTGACTTAGAGGTCTTGGACAGAAGGATGAGATGGGTGGGGGATTATGGGAAGAAGTATTTCACCTCTATCCACTCTGGTGCAAAAATAGCACAAGTGTCCATATGAGAAAGAATCGTTCATCCTGAGGACTTTGAGCCTTAAAATATCAGCACACGTACAAGCACTTGGAGCATGCCTCATAGATAGTGAGAAATCAGGGCATATTTGTTGAGCCAACAAATGCATTTTGTGCTTAGGAAAATGGGTCAGGATGTCTTAATCTCAGGAGAGAGACTGGGGATCAAGAGACAAAATGGGGTGCCAAAACATGAACGCAGAAGGAAGACTACTACAAAAGACGAGGGGATCAGTGGGTGGTGTGGAGGATACGACCCGAGACCGTTGTGTGCATGTGTAAAAGTTTCACAGTGAACGTCGGTATTCTGTATCATTAAGATATACCAATTTAAAAGAAAAATTGTAATATACTGTAATACAGTTGCCAGGACAATAAAAAAATTGGGATGCCTGGAAACCACCAGCATTTAAGTGGTAATTAGAAATACGGAGGAAGATGAGGAGTCAAAAGTGAGAAACACTGCTCCCCACTCTGCTTGGTCCCCGAAACATCCTTCATTACAACTTGCTTGACCCATGGAGAGTGTGTGGCATTTGGTGACCGCTGGGATGTCCCTCTGTCCTTCCATGGGCTGAGCATCCTGTCCTGCCAACCTTCCTCTAGGACCTTTCTGGAGTCCTCACAGGGAAGGTTGGGGCAACAGCCTCACTTTTCACTCAGTGCCTTTCAGTTCCTTCCTGCCAGCTTCACCCTCCAAATATTCACTTACTCTTGGCTTCTTCCTTCTTTTGGCTGTAGTACAGGTCACCATCAATGGCCGCAAATATCGGGTAGGGGAATGTCCCACCTTCCACATGCTTTGTCATGCTGGACAAGGGAGAGTCCTGCAGCTTTGGAGAGAAAGTACCATGGATCGTTTTCAAAACAAGTGTCTTGTGTACCCCTTCCCTCCATGCCCTGGGAGGTATCAGCTGCATCCTTACCATGTCCTTTTGTCTCCCACCAGTACCTTAGGCACGGTTAACAGTCCAGGCTCTGGAGCTTGTCTGCCCTGCTTGATCTCCCACATCTACCATGTGCTCACTGGGAGATCATGGGCAATTTCTCTCATCTCTTCCTTCCTTAGTTCCTCCCTCTGGATAGTGTGGATTATTACACGATACTGCCATTCATATGTTTGACAGCTGAGGAAACTGACCCTCAGCAAAGGAAAGGGACTTACCTAAAGTTACCAGCTAAAATGGCAGCACTGTGACCTAAACTCAGGGTTGCTTGCTGTAAAGGTTAGGGTTTTGACCTTCTTACAACAGGCGAACAAAGCTGTCACAAGGCATTGATGTCTTGTTGCTCCCTCCAAATCTGCCTCGGAACCCCTATGTCCTATGGTATAAAAGCAAAGCTTATTTCTAGGTCCTGGAAACATACATTTCGATGGGAAAACCCTAGTTTGAAACCCTTTGGAACATTACATCGTAGAGCAGGAGAAACATAACTGGGGGGAAGGAGGGATTTACACAACGGATGAACCCCAAATGAGTCCTCCAAATGCTCCCTATGTTGCATAAGTCTGTGTGAACAGCAGCCGCTAACAGAAGATGAACACAGGGCTTGTGTCTGCAACCTCTAAAAACCACACTGGGTTAAGAATATTCTACCTGTTAACATATTTCAAAGCGTACAATACCATATTGTTAACCGTAGGGCCCATGCTATAGAGCAGGTCCCTAGAACCTATTTATCATGCCTAGCTGAAAATGTATATATTAAGTGAAATAAGCAGATGCAGAATTTAAGGGGATAGATATCAGTTTAAGTGCTCTTACCACCAACTTGCACGGGTGTGCGCGTGCACACACACGTTCAAACATAAAAGAGAAGGAGACAGAGCAAGCGACAGAGAGACAAAGAAACAGAGAGAGAGAGGCACCTCCATGTTCATCCCCCACGTTCACATCACCCACAGGTACCTGGTCCACGCTATCATTTCTAAACAACACCTGTTCCCCTAGGCCACACAGTCTTGTAGAAACCTGTCATCGTCAATCATTTCACTTTCCTTCTCTTCCCTTGTCCCCCTCCCATGTTTCTAGGAACCTCTGCTCTTATTTCTATGACTAGGACAACTGCTCAACCCAAACCAAAAGTTAAAAATAGGAGGAATCCACTGGGAGAAGAACTCATTTCAGGTCTCCACCTCACAGTCATCCTAACCCTCCCCTGAGACAGTTGCAGCCCACGCCAAGGTCGCCCTGAGGACTACACCTGCTTGGATCTGGGGAGCCTCCTCCCAGAACTGAGCAGATCAGGTGAGACCTTCAGGCAGTTTGGGGTTGGATCCCAGGGTCAGTTGGTCAAAGGCTCCGGGGGTGAACATAAGGATGCTCTGAGCCTAGGGAATGCATTTTCCACTAAGCATCTGAAGAAGAAAAAGCACCCAGTTTGCCAAAGCAAGGAGAATGAAATGAAAGTGCAGCGTGGAGCATGGTGGTTCACAGCTGCGATCCCAGCCTTTGCTGAGGCAGAAGGACTGTGAGTTTGAGATAAGCCTGGACTACACAGCAAGACTCTGTCTCGAAAAAGAAAAAAGAAGAGAAAGGAAGAGGAGAAAACAAAAAGAAAAAGGGAGGGAAGGGAAGGGAAGGGAAGGGAAGGGAAGGGAAGGGAAGGGAAGGGAAGGGAAGGGGAAAAACTGGACACAGTGACACATCTCAGCACTGGGAGGCTGAGGCAGAAGGATCACTGCAAATCTGAGGTCAGCCTTGGGCTATATAGTGATTGAAGGCCAGCATGAACTAGGAAGATCCTGTCTCAAAAGACAAAGAAAAAGAAAAGAAAAGAAAATCTTGAAAGACTTTATAATGGAGATGTTGGTCCAGATCTCTGGTAAGTTCCAACCTAGAGACCCAGGTCTCAGCTGGGGGTGACTTACTTCCCTGGTTTGTTTGGAGACAACGATGTAGGCCCAAAAGTCTGTCAGAGAGTAATTCTCCAACTTCGCTGCCTCGATGGTCTTCTCTAGGCTGTCATTCAAGTTCCACTCCTTCTGGGCAAATCGACGCTTCAGCTCGACCTCGATACCTTCTGTGTTCCCATCCTCGGTGTAGAAGGAAGACAGTGCCCTGCGGGCAGAGGAGCGGGGCTGGGCGAAGGACTGGAAGTGCAGCCTAGAAAGGCTGGAGGGTGGGGAGCGGGCCAGACCCTCTCTAACCCCAAATGCCTCCCTGTAGGAGTAGGCGGCAAACAGGGGAAGTGGATAACTAATTTACTTAAAGCAAGTAAGACTACAGGTGACTAAACTCCAGGGAGGCATCCAACATCCTCTGGGGCAATTCTTCCACTTTACAGCTAGGACATGAGAACGAAATAGATGAAATGACTCCTAAAAACCAAATAATATTTTTCCAGACTAGTATGTATAGAGGGGGGCCACATGGGTGGGCTACAAGCACTGTCTATAACTTTTTATGGTTATTAACTCACATCATCTTCAAAACCATCCAAAACAGGAACGATAAGATTATTCTCAATTTACAGAGGGAGCCACTGAGGCCCAAAGAGGGTAAGTAACTTCCCCCAAAACACACAGGGAATAACAAGATGAACTGTATTTGTTTCTAGATAATCTGCCATCTTCACACTTTATTTACTGAAGAGTGCCTTGTAGCAAAAAATTGAGCCAGGTGTGGGGGCGCACACCTGTAATCCCAGCACTTGGGAGGCTGAGGCAGGAGGATCACTGTGAGTTGCCTGCCTGGGCTACAAAGTGAGCTCAAGGCCAGCCTGAA